AGGACAGAACATGTCCTTGGTGTCACAAGACATTCACCCCCCTCTTGTCCCAGGCTTGCTCCTGGAGAGAGAGGGTGGGCTCAGAAAGTGCCCTGAGCTATCACGTGGTGGCCTTCTGGTCGGTGAATTGCACCTGGGAGAGGTCCTTTGTCTCCTGCTTCCTCTCCCCTCCCTGAGCTTCTCCTTCTCACATCCTCCTCATGGACGATCCTCCCCATGGACCTGCTCCTTTCCTTCGTATCTGGTGGCACGGGCCCGGCGCTGCGTGGCTGCTGTCATCCCAGCCGGCCTTGCTCTCGAGGCCGGCAGAGAGGCATCAGAGGTGCAGGAAGCTCAGATAAGGGTGAGCTAATCGGCCTCTTATTGCTTTTATGGCCCTTTTACTGTCTGGGGAGTCCCCAGAAGGAGTGTTTGCTTACAGGCAGAAGTGGACTTCCAGCCGGGAAACAGCTGGGAGAGGCTGCTCCCGGGGTGGGTGCAGGGTGGGTCAGTAGCCTTGGCAGGAAGGGCAGGGAGGGAGGAGGCATCCAGCCTCATTTCTTACCAGGCCTCCTCTCCCCTTGCCTGGGAGGCCCCTTCCTCCGCATCTGCCTAGGGAATGCAAGCAGAGCTGGTGTCAGAGCAAGGCCTGCGGGCACACCACAGCTCTGTCGCTTGCTGGCCAGGTGACTTGGAGTGAGGTACTTGCCAATCCCGAACCTCACTTTCCCAGTCTGTGAAATGGTCATAATAAGACATGCACTTGTCCTCAAGCATTTGACATCTCCAGGCCCAGAATAGATACCAACGAAGTACAGGGCGGGGATGGGAGGAGGGGTGGCCTCCCACAAGCCTAGGGAGACCTGTCCACCCACAGGCACCGGCCTCCACCCTCCCCTGGGGCTCCCAGTCTCTGCTGGCCTCAGCGACGTGTGTGGGGGCGCTCAGTGCTTTCCCAGCATTCGCTCACTTAATGAGTGGGTGACTCCTCTGTGCTGTGTGACCCCCACTCCTCAGCCCAGAAAGCCAGGGCCTGGGCTGTCTGCTCAATGGAAATGAGCCCACATTAACTTCTTCAATAGAGCAGGTGGCTTAGACCTGCATTGTCTCGTATGGTGGCCACAAGCCACATGTGGCTATTTCAGATTAAATTAGTTAAATTTAAAAATTATCCCTGGCTGTTGTGGCTCAGTGGTTGAGTGTCGGCCTAGGAACCAATAGGTCATGGTTTGATTCCTGGTCACGGCACATGCCCGCGTTGTGGGTTTGAATCACAATAGGAATGGTGCAAGAGGCAGCCAATGGATGATGTTCTCTCTCATCGATGTTTCTATCTTTCTACCCATCTCCTTCTTCTCTCTCTAAAAAGCAATGAAAACATATTAAAAAAAATTAAAAGTTAAGTTCACCATGTTTTTGATAATGTGCAGCCAAGGGGCTCATGTTTTCAGCCCCACCTGGCTTGTGGGGTGTCCTAAAGTATTTCCCAAGCCCTTCTAACGCTGCCCGACCTCACCCCAAAATACCTACCAACCCTGCTCTCTCTTGATGCCACCTGTAGGGTTTACCCCCGGCCTTCTCAGCTCTTCTCACTGCGGCCTGAGAGCTGGGTGGTATGACTCATGTCCAGTGTTTTTGTTGTAGCGTCTTTGCCATAAGCACATAGCCAACTGGCTTAAGGCAATTTTGCCATAAAAGAGATAAAATCATGACAAATAAGAGCGACATTAAAAACGAGTAACAGAATTAGAAAGGCCACTGTGTGCCCTGGCTGGTGTGGCTCAGTTGGTGGGTGCCGTCCCATGCACCAAAAGGTTGCTGGTTCGATTAGGGCGCATGTTCAATCCCAAACCTCACTTTCCCCATCTGTGAAATGGTCATAATAAGACATGACCATTTCACAGATGGGGAAATGGTCATGTCTTATTATCGTGGGCTTGATCTCCAGTAGGGCGTGTGCAGGAGCAGCTGATAGATGTTCTGCTCTGACATCAATTTCTCTCTCTCTCTTCATCCCTCCTCTTTCTCTGTCTAAAAATCAACAAAATATAATAAAAAAAAGGTTACTATGAAATGTAAAATAGTTGAATGCATTTAAAACATGTTTAGATCTATGGCAATCCTGTGCAAATAACTGGCTTTATTTTGTGGGCTGTATTTAGGCTCTTGTTTTCCTTCCATGGGAAACGTGTGGGTTCACCTTGCCCCCCTCCAGGAGAGCCCTCGGCCTCTCTTCCTCCTCCCAACATAGTGTGTTTCGAAATAAGCCAACTCCCTGGTACAGTGTCATGGGGAAGAAATGCTGCCTATTTTCAGATCACCCTGCTTAACTGTTTTCTCCACCAGTTTGTCGACGGAGAAATGAAGCCAGACTGACAGCCAAGCTGATGACACAAAGCGACAACAAACCAAACTTAACGCCTTTTTATGGCAACATTGCCTTCCGGCCCCTTAGTTACACGGTGAAAATGTTCGTGGCAAAACGTCTAGCACAGAAGTACCAAGAACCATGATGATTTCTTTTAGACGAAGACTGGAACTACCTAGTCTAAAAGAAAAAGTGATGGCTAAATGGTCTACCAAGGCCAGGGGCCTAGGTCCCAGCGAACCTGCGATGTCAGTCAATATTTAAGTGCAAGTTCCCCACCTCCGAGGGGTCTGGTTGAATGAGCATAGACTGTGCAGGCAGGCAGCCTGGGCATTAGACCCCAGGTCCCTGTGATGCACCCAGTGATGATGGGTAAGCCATTAAGTCTCGATGGGCCTCAGTTTCCCCATCTGTAGCCCAAGGATGATAATATCGACCTCATCTGCCCTCTTTTGAAATGAGTGGCATCTCACAGGTGCATCGTCATGGTCATGAATGGTCACCGTTAGTGGATCCATGCAGACTTTCAAGTGGATTCTGCCAAGCTCTCACATTGACTCGGGCTGGATCTGTTTGGTTCTCTGGGCATTTTGGAGCGGCTGGATCTAGCATTTTCAAGACGACTCTTGTGTGAGCAGTTGGTGGCTCAGGGAAGCAGCTGGCAGGGATGGGGGCTCAGGCGGCTCCTTTCATTCCAGCACCCCTTACTGGTGCCGACCAGTCCCTTGCCCTCTTGGCATTGACTTCCTGTTGGGGGAAAGTCTTACCCCAGGACTGTGTCCCTTGCCTCAGGGCGACACTGCTGACTTCTGGCAGTGAGCTTTGAGTTGAGACTAGCTGGTGACGTAGACCTCTGTTGTCCTATACAGTGGGCCACTGGTCACACATAACTGCTGAAAATAAAACTAATTCCCTTGGTCACATGAGTGCCACCAGCCACATTCTGAGTGCTCAGTAGCCACATGAAGCTCACGGAGAGCACAGACTAGAGTAGTGGTGGGCAAACTGCGGCTCGCGAGCCACACGGTTTACCGCTCTGTTGACTAATGAGTTTGCCGACCACGGACCTAGACTCTCGATTCCAATAATTATAGGCTGTTGTTGTTCCTTGTGATTAAGCCCCTATCCCAGTGGTCGGCAAACTCATTAGTCAACAGAGTCAGTTTGCTGACTACGGGACTAGAGTGTTTTCCTTCTCACAGCTGTCCGGGCTCTGTTATCTGCGACACGGTCTTAAGAGCCCAGCTTTGGGGCCCGGCAAGCAGGCTCCCCGGTCTGGGTCTGCCCCTCACGGGCAGCATGATCTTGGGCAGGTTCCTCTTCCTGCTGCCTGCAGAGCTGGGAGGGATAAGGCAAAGAGCCCCCTCCCAGGAGGCCTTGCTCATTCCCCTTCCTCTTCCTCCTAGTACTATCCTGGCCTTCACCTCCCCACCTGACCTCGACTGAGTGCTAAGGGCTCGGGTACCAGGAAGTTTAAGAAAATTCTTGGCAACAGTGGCTGCTGTCTTGGGCAGTTGGAGGCCTCTCCCTTCTGGAATGGCAGATGTGGACTTTGTCTTTTGAGAAAAAACAAAACAAAACAAAACAAAACACCACAAACAACTTTCCCTTGAAAGTTCCGGCCTTAAGAAAGGTTGTGATGGAAGCACACCCTTGGAGTTTGTTGCACACCCCCTTACCCTGTTTTCCTGTCGTTAACTTCCTCCGGGACTGTGGGACCTTTGCCCGAACTACGGAACCATCCCCTCAACTCCACACTTGATCCAGATTCTGTTCGTTTTTCTACTCCTGTCCTTTCTTTGGTCCGGGATCCCATCCAAGGCTCCAGGTTGCATGTAGCTGTCACCAGCCTGTGCTGGTCTGTGACAGTTTCTCAGTCTTCTCTTGGCTTTTATGATCCTGACAGCGTTGAGGCGTGACAGGCAGGCATCCCGTAGCCTGTCCCCCAGTCTGACTACGGGACTAGAGTGTTTTCCTTTTCACAGCTGTCCGGCATTTTTCTCCTGGTGGGACTGGGGTGATAGAGTTGGGGAAGAGGCAGAGGCAGGTGCCCTTCTCGTGTGTGCCACGTCCTGTCAGGGGTGCATGATGTCGGAGTGATGGCCCAGGGACTGCCACGTCCTGTCAGGGGTGCATGATGTCGGAGTGATGGCCCAGGGACGGTCACGTGCTCACTTGGTTCGGGTGGGCTCTGCCGCTTCCCCACCCCTCCCCTTGGCGTGCCTGCTCCCGGGAAGCAGGTGTCTGAGTCCAGCCCGTCCTCAGCTCTGTCTCTCAGGCCTAGGATATGAGACAAGTCCTCCTTTCTCCCAGGAGGTGGTCCCCGGCCCGGGCCTCCAGCTCCAGGTAGAAGAACAACGGGGAGAGAGAGAGCCCCCCTGCGCCTGCGCTGGAGGGAAGACGGGCATCCATTCTGGGGAGCACTGTGATCTTCATGCTCTTAAAGCAGCAGGCTGCCTTCTAAAGGCGAGGAAGGGGCTTGTCCCAGCCCTCCAGCCTCTAGACTGATGGCCATGTGGGCCAGAGCTCCTGTCAGCCCCCCTGCCCCTCCATGCCCTGCTGTTCGGTGAGGGGCTGCTGGAAGCTTCCAGAGCCCCTTTCTCTGCTCTGACCCCTGCCCTGTAGCTCACTGGCACTGTGTCTTGGCCTGCAGGGTGCCGGCTGTGGTGAGCAATGGCGATGCCGTGGACACAGCTTTGTCCGGGGTCCGGCGCTCCAGCTGGAAGCGGAAGAGTTCCCGTCGAAGTAAGCCTCCCCCTCCCCCCACTCAGGTCTTAGCTCCCGCCACACGGGTGGTGGTGGTGCCAGGATAAGCTGAGTCCCTCCTCCAAGCACAGAGAGCTGATGGGGGGTGGGGTCGGGGCTGGGGGAGCTGAGGAGTCGTCCTCCCTGGCTGGGCTGCCATGGGCTGGGTGGCAGTGCTGGGGTGGACTGGACACTGTCCACGCTTGACAGTTGCCCCCATTTGCCCCGAGAGCCCCGGTCCAGGAGTGACCACACATTCGCCGTTCGTTGGCTCCTCACGTGCTTCCGAGCAGCGGGTGGGGGTCCCCGTCACCAAGACGAGGTTCCTCTGGGAGCAGAGCCAGACTCTCAGGCAGGCGGCTGAGTGGGACAGCCCCTGTGTCCCCGAGGCAGAGAGCCAGGAGTGGGGTCAGGGGAAGAGTGTCCGGCTTGTGCAGGAGTCCGAGGGAGCAGTGAGCCTCGAAGTGATGGATGGAGTGCCCCATCGGAGGGGCAGCGGGGCGAGGGGAGGCTGTCGCCTCCCAGGCTCCTCCTGGGCCTCAGGGGCCACACTTTTCCGAAGGCAACGGGGAGCCAGGAGAGGCTGGTGATGCGGCCGAGTTTGCATTTCATCCCTCCCCTGGGGGTGGGGTGTAACTAGGAGACAGGAGACAGAGTGGGGTGGGCTGGACCCCAGAGGAGGCTGTGGAGAGGGAGGAGGAGCCCGGAGCTGGGGACCTGGACAGAGGCGGCCAGGTCTGAAGCCACCGGGAGGCAGAGTCTGTGGGGGGAAGGCAAGGAGGTCGGGATGAGGCTCTGACAGGTCTGGGACCCCGGGGCAACTGGAGGCATCGCAGTTAGAATGGCGAGGCCCCAGAGGCCCCAGGCCTTCCCAGAGGGCTGTGGGGCGAGGACAGGCTCCCGTCAGGCATGGCAACTGGCTTTCGAAACCCTTGCTCTGCAGGGGCCCTGTGCCCCTAAGGAGGGCAGAGAGTGGGCACAGTTTTTGGGAAAGACCTCGTTACATTTTGCATCTACTGGGCTATTGTCATGGGCGGGAGGCACGCCCTGCCCTGCTCACAGACCTCCCAGTGCCGTGTTCGGGGATTAAGCTCTGTCTCATTTGTGCTCATTTGCTGAAAGCTTCACCAGTCAGGACTCTGCTGGCTGGGTTTTGGGGGAACTCTTCTTAATCCCACTCTCCAGGTCCACCCCCCTCCCCTATTTCCACTTCTCACTAGGGCTGGTTGGCCCTCCCCGCCTCTGGGTGGGAGGTGGGGGTAGCACTGGGGGCTTGGGCCGCTGAAAATGTGCCCTGGGTGCTGGGTCTGCTTCCTGCTCCCTGCTCGCTGCAGGTGCCCTCAGCCAGGTGGGCAGTCTGTGGGTGGCAGGGGGCAGGGGGGTCTGGAAGAGGTGGGGGTGAAGGGGTGGAGAGAAGAGGCGGGACAGTGTCCTCTGAGAGTGGCGGGCAGGGGCTCCCTGGGGCCCGGGCTGCCCGGCGCTGATGCTGGCGGGGGAGCTGCCAGCTGGTGCAGCTGATGTCAGTCTGGCAGCCGCCTCCGCTCGGGCCGCCCCAGCCTGACTCCCGCTCTGTCCTCTCCTTCTTCACGCCCAGTTGACCGGTTCACCTTCCCCGCCCTGGACGAGGATGTGATTTATGACGACGTCCCGTGTGAGAGCCTGGATGCCCACCAGCCCGGTAGGGCCCCTTCCCTGCTTCTCTGGGGCTGCGGGGGAGGGGCGGGGACTGGGGACCGTCTGTCTTCTCCTTCCATTTCCGTCCCTCCTCACCCAGCCAATGGCCCCTCCTTCCTGCTTTTAAAAACCACTGGAGTCATCCGGGCAGAGTAGGAGATGGCTGAGGGTGGGGCCGGGCTAGGGCCTCATGGCAGGGGATGCTCTGGCTGAAGGGTCTCAGGCCAGTTATTTCTCCTCTCCAAGCCTCGATTCCTCCCTCAGGACAATGGGTGACAGTCTGGACTTGCAGGGAAAGTGACAGCTTGTTACGCTGAACGGGGAAGCGGAGAACCTGTGCCCTGCTCTGTAGCAAGGCCCTCAGTGGCCTGGAGGGCAGGGAGATTGTGGCCTCAGACAGCGGGGTGGGGTGGGGTGGGGTGGGGTGGGGTGAGTCCTGCTGGAGCTGGACCCAGCTTTCTCACCCACGGGGTGGGGTGTTTATGATCACCATCTTTGCTTGAACACATGAGGCCAGCGACTCTCAGGTTTGACTCTGCTTTGAGACTTTGATTTGGGCATATTATGTCCTCATCCTACAAAGAAATTGCAGGGGCAGGGCTGGGGTTTGAACCTTGGTCATTCTGACTTCCAGTCCAGTGCTCTGTCCCCTCTCCCAGGAGGTCTTGGGCAGTGTCTGATGCCAGATGACTCTCACTGTTCAATCAACCTTACGAGGTCAGCAGGGCCAGGCTATGGCTCCAGTTGAGTTGCATCAGAGAGGTTAAGCCACCAGCCCCAGATCACACAGCCAAGATTTTATGGATATCTGCCTGACCCTTGCCTTTTATTTTTAAAATTTTTGTTTATTGATTTTTTTTTCCTTTTCTTTTTGGAGAGAGAGAGAGAGAAAGGGAGAGGCACAGAGAAAGAATCAAACCCGCAACCTTGGCATATTGGGACGACACTTCAACCAACTGAGCCACCCAGCCAGGGCCTGACCCTTGCTTTTACTTTTTTTTTTCCTTTAAAAAAATATATATTTTTATTGATTTCAGAGAGGAAGGGAGAGGTAGAGAGAGAGAGAATCATAGATTGGCTGCCTCTTGCACATCCCCCACTGGGGATCCAGCCCGCAACCCGGCCATGTACCCAGACCAGGATTCGAACCATGACCTCCAAGTTATAGATCGACTTTCAACCACTGAGCCTCTCTAGCTGGGCTGACTCTTGCTTTTTGCTATTACCCCATTCTGCCGAGGTGCAGGCCACCCACACTAGTGGACTCTCAGCCCTGGGTTCCGGTCTCGGCTCTGCCATTGATCAGGGCACAGCGATCTGGGCCTTTGGGCCAGAAACATTTTATTTATGTTTCTTCATATAGAATCAGGCTGTCATCCTGACCTCACAGGACTTTGGGGAGGGTCACAGCAGAGGACTTCTGCTTCATCTCTCGGGGCCTCAGTCGATGCATCTGTCAAGTGGGGGCAATAAAGCTGGGTGCTTGGTGAGGGTGCCAGCAGGGAGGCACGGAGCGCTGAGCGGTGGTGCTGAATGCTTTGGGAAGGGCTGTGATCTTGAGCGCCAGCGAAGCCTGAGGCCCCAGGAAGCGGAGGGCGGGGACCAGGACCGGATCTGCTGTGAGGTCCCCGAGGCCGAGGGTTTGGCACAGGCCCAGGAATCTGGTGGCATGGCGTCCCCTGGAGGAGCGTTTCTAGGGGTGAATGGATGGGGCCCTGCCCGGGAGTCTGCGGCCCCTCCCGTTCACTGCCTGACCTCGGGCAAGTCACCTGTGAATGGAGAGGCGATGACTTGCCACCTGCTGACCTGCAGGGCTGCTGGGAAAATTCATGGGGAGCTGGTGGCCCTTGGCAGGTGGGGAGGGAGATATCTGGCGTGCCACCCTGGTTCTTCCTCAGGGGCAGCCCCAAGCATTGGTGGGGCCCGCACTGCAGTAATAGGACAATCCACCCAGCCTCACTGGAAAGGTCACCGTAAAGGTCACCGCCTCGTCACCAGCTGCTCCACTCCCTGAAAACATTAGTCACTAGTAATCTTTTGCTTAAAAATACCCTCATGCTCCTGCCTGATCCTGAGGCCCTAGTTTCCAGCTAAGCCTCAGTGCGCCCGTTTGGTTCTTTGGCTGCCAACCTTCCAGACCCCCGTCCCCTGCTTTCCCGAGGGGTGCAGGTGCGGGCTCGAGGTCAGTGTGATAACACAGAGCCCACCCACGGCCCCCACCGGGAAGGATCCGGCGCTCCCTGCTAGAGCGTTCCGTACATATTTTATTTATTCCCCCTCCTGCTTATTACCACCCCGTCTTACAGAGAGGCCTCCGGAGACCCGCACTGCCCTGCCCAGCACGCGTGCTTTCTGAGCAGATTAAGCCCCTTCACAGTGCCGGGTTTTCCCCGTGTTGACAACAGCCTTTTCATCTGCCAGCATTTTTGGCCTGGCCTCACTTTTGGGAGGTTTGCAGTTCAGTTCTTCGGGTAACTGACCCGGAAGTGAAGCCCCGAGGGGTGAAGGGGAAGCCCATGATCTCGCAGTGGCGGAGCTGGGGCTGTACGGGGACCCGTGTTCCAGTCCCAGGACAGTCTGTGAGCACATCTCACACCCACGTGACAGAGACCCAAGAGTGCCCAGGCCCTGGTGGCACCGCCTCTCTAGGCTAGTGGACTGTCTGGTCTTTGTCCCCAAGTTTTCGGTTCGAGGCATTTCCTGTGGGGCCTTGAAGAAAAGGAACCACTCCTGGACATTGGAGCAGGTGCGCCCCCTACTGGACCATTGAGGGAAAGAGGCTTGGTGGGAAGGATCCTGGCTCATGGAATGCTGGACCATCTCGGCTTACTCCCCGGATGCTGAGGCCAGAGCTGAGGGCCCCAGTCAGGACTTGCTCCTCCATCTTCTCTTTTCTTTCTTCTTTTCTTTTCTTTTCTTTTCTTTTCTTTTCTTTTCTTTTCTTTTCTTTTCTTTTCTTTTCTTTTCTTTTCTTTTCTTTTCTTTTCTTTCTTCTTTTCTTTTCTTTTCTTTTCTTTTCTTTTCTTTCTTTCTTTCTTTCTTTCTTTCTTTCTTTCTTTCTTTCTTTCTTTCTTTCTTTCTTTCTTTCTTTCTTTCTTTCTTTATTTTTTTCTTTCTTTCTTTCTTTCAATCCTCACCTGAGGATATTTTCCCATTGAATTTTAGAGAGAGTGGAAGAGAGAGGGAAAGACAGAGAGAAATATCGATGTGAGAGAAACACATCAATTGGTTGCCTCCTGCATGAGCCCTGACTAGGGCCCGGGCTGGGGAGGAGCTTGTCACCGAAGTACGAGCCCTTGACTGGAATTGAACCCGGGACCCTTCAGTCCTCAAGCTGACGCTTTATCTACTGACCCAAATCGGCCAGGGCCACCTTATCTTTTCTACAAAAAAAAAAAAATGCCTCTGAGGCCTGGGATGAGCACCGAGACCCCAGAAAAGTAATGCTGACAACGACAGGAAATCAGAGAGCCTGTCGGGTGCTGGACACATTTCTTGGGCTTTTGTACACTTTCTCGTGTCTGCTTCTCTTGACCCAGTGGCGGTTGTGTTGTCCTCACTTCTGTTGTATGGACAAGGAAGTGGAGGCGGAACTCCAGGACCAAATGATATGCACCCATACTCCCCCCACCCCATGCACCTGGGCTCAGAAGTGGGGTCTGGTGGGTGTGCCTTGGGCCTCCGCTCACCACTCACCAGCCTGCGCCTTGGCCAGCAGGGGCGGAGAGGAGCCTGCTATACGAGGATGTGCGCCGGGACGGGGCGCCCAGGGAGGCCGAGGACCTAGGCTGGAGCTCCAGCGAGTTTGAGAGCTACAGCGAGGACTCCGAGGAGGAGGCCAAGCCGGAGGCAGAGCCCACCAGGCCCCGCGTGTCCTTCCAGCCCAAGGTGAGAAGGCAGGGGCGTCTCTCAGGCCAGCCAGGGCCCTGGGACCCCCTTGGGGAGGGGACGATGTGGGTGGTGAGAGCCAGGCCTGAGACTCATAGCTAAACAGTGATTCCCAGGAACGTGTGAGGCTCTGGAACAGAAGCTGACCTGCAGGCCTTGCTGTTTGGCGGTGGAGAGCCCTGAACCGGGGGTGGGCGTGGCTCATCCCTGGCACAGATGTTCTCTGCCCGGCGTCCATGGCAGATCCTGGAATTGATCAGGATGCTCCTGGGCTCAGGTCTGGCTTCAGAATCTGGTAGTCTGCCTGGAACGGGGTGCATCCAGCTGATCTCAGGGAGGGAACAGAGGCCAAGAGGAGGGTGGCTTGCCTGGTCCCCCCTCTCCTGGGACAGTCTCACTGCTCCCATTCATTCTGTGGATGCAGACCCAGGCCTGGCTGAGATTTGGGATTTCATGGGAGCAGCTTCTTACTGACGGACTCGAGGTGACTGGGTCCCTCTCAGGCTCCTTCCAAAAAAACACACACACACAGGCAGGCACGGACAGCCTGGAGGTGGGGCAGGGACAAGGCAGGGGGCCTCGATCTGGGCTGGGATTGGGGGGGGGGCTCCAAGTTTTCCCTAGTGCTTCCTGCCCCTTTCAAAGTGTGGGGATCCCCTCAGACAAGGCTCCCCCATGTCCTCAGGAAGCCTGGGAGCGAGCAGTGGCCTTGACATGGTGCTAGCAAAAATAGTTAGGCATCTGTGACACCTACTGTGTGCTTAGGCCACATCTTAGGGTGTGGGTTAGGGTACACAGGAACAGGAAGACCCACCCAGGCTTCAGGAACCTTTGAGGTGTAGGAGGAGATACCGAATATGGGACAATTTGTCAAGAATGAAGATAAAGTGCCGTTCTGTAACCGTGAGCCCTGGCATCTATGGTGCCTGCCTGACACGGTGGGATCTGGGGGGGTTGGTCAGGGGGGGCCCAGGAGAGAGGAGCTGGGAGCTGGGGTGCAGCAGCCGGAGGAAATGGAAAGGTGGCTTAGGCTAAAGGGGTGGAAGCCAGGAACCTGGCTTCCGGCGGAAGGCCGTTCCTGCTTCTGTCCTCAAAGGAGCAGCGTGCACCACTTAAGAGAGAGGGGGGCTTCCGTTATGAAGCCACCATGTCCCCTGGGCAGCCTCTCTGTAGGAGGGCGGGGTGTGCACATCTCAGCCGGCTCCTGGTCATGGGAGCAAGTGGCCTTGATGCCTAGGCCAGCCATTTTCTCAGCCTCTGGCTGCCCCTCCTCATCCCCCCAGCCATGTCCCCAGCCTTGCCTTCTTGCTGGGGCCTGGGAGGGTACTGTAGGCACCTCTCAGAGGGCAGGAGGCATGGGGGTGCTGAGTTGGCGCTCTCTGGTGGTGGCCTTCAGACTGGCATGGGCATCAGGATCACATGGTAGCTGGTTGATCACCTGCTCAGGGACTCTGGCTCAGGGTTTGGGGTTGGCAAGGCAAGCTGCCTTTTAACCAGCGCTCTGCCCCCAGGGGATGCCAGGGGCCAGGGAGCACTCTGGGCTGGGCTGGCCCTCCTCAGGACCTGGCCCCAGGGTTGGGGGTCTCTGGTTGCTGCCTTGAGCTCAGGTCCCACATACCCCGAGGCTGGGGCTTTGGGCTCTCCTCAGCAGACAATGTTCTTGGAATTTCTAACCATGGAGACTTTTTCTCTGGAGGTGGAGCCAATGCCCTCCTGCTGCCTGAACAGCAGACTCCCAGGACAGGGGGTTGACGAGGGGCCCTTCCTTCAGCACCCACCTCTGCCAGGGACCCCTGACCCTGCCTGCGGTGCTCTGTCGCACCTGCTCCTGTGCCTGGCGCTGCAGCGGCTGATGCTTTGGAGCCACCACTGCTTGGCGTGCTGTGTGGCTGTGGGCGCTGGGCAGCAGAGACCAGGAAGGGTTGTGTCCTGTCCTTAGAGACCAGAGGGGCTGGCGCCCTGCCCTGCTGCCAGAGAACGAGTGGACTTCCTCCTCCTCACGTCTTGAGAGGCCGCTCTTGACGGGTGGACTTTTGCCAAAGGCAGTGACCGCAGGGTGTGCAGAGGGACCTGCTTGAAAGCAGCAGCCCGGGTGTAAGCAGGAGCCGGGTCCTCTTCCCTTAACTGTACCTGCTGGCTGCCTCCCAGTGGCAGGTGTTAATTTATTTTCCAGTTGTGGAGTGGGCTGCTTGAACTTTGTCACTTTCTGACTGTGACTTCTTCATAATTAAGGTCGCTGTGACCCTGTGGTCAGGGGACGGGGCAGAAAAGCAGCTCTGACCCCAGCCTTGTTGGCTCCCCTGCGCGGATCTGGCCGGTTCTGCAGGAGACTTCCGGTCCTGGGTCTTCTGACCCAGGGCAGCAGGCCCACGTGGCTTTATGGTTTTACTGTGTCGATCTTATTTGCAGATGGAACAGAACTCAGTACAAACTCCAAGCTCCCCAGTTTCTGGGGAGTCTGAGTGACACACAGAAGGATCCCTGTCTGGTTACTTCTTTGTATAACAATCATGAACCTTTGCCTGGCGTGGTACAGCTTTCCAAGCAGTTTCATTTTGTTTTCCTAACCCCCCTAGAGTGGCTGGTATCGTGGGCATTAAGAGTCTCATTTTATTCCTCAGAGAACCTAAGTGACCGAAGCTCAGAGAGGTTAGATGACGTGGTCAGGGTCACACAGCCAGCGATGGGTAGAGCCACACTCATCACATATCATGTGACAAAAAATACTCCATCCATCCATTCATCCCTCCATCCATCCATCCTTCTGTCCATCCCACCATCTATCCATCCAGCTATTCAACAGAGGGTGAGCACTTATTTGAATAAGATGAGCACTTCTGCTTTTTGAGGAATCACCAAGCTCTCACTATAGTAAATGTGTCATCGCTGTAATCTCCGCAGTCTCTCTGTGACGTGGCCTTTACCATGGCCCTTTGCCTGTGGGGAAGCTGGAACTCAGGTGGGGAGACCTGCCAGCGAGTAAGCGGGGCCGGTGATTTGAGTGCAGGCTCACCCGCCTCCAGAGCTCAGATTCTCGCTCTCCCTGCCCGTCTACTGCTCTAAAGGACACTCTCTCGGTCTTCTGTGTACTTGGCCCAGTATCGCCCTTGCTTATACACGTCTTGCATTTAATGTCTCTCTGATCATCTGTCCATCCATCCACCCATCCATCTTCCCAGACAGTGTGTAAGCAGTCACCCATCCACCCTTACATTCGGTCCTCCTTCCCTTTGTCCGTCCCTCCCTCCCTCCTTTCCTCCCTCCCTCCCTCCCTCCCTCCCTCCCTCCCTCCCTCCCTCCCTCCCTCCCTCCCTCCCTCCCTCTACGTATCTACCCCTTCCTCCCGTGGTGTGCTAGAGCCAGCGTGGCCTTGCTCACAAGAACCAAAGAACCAATTGTGAGTGTCTCTTTCCAAGTTCACATTCAGTGATTCAGGTTGGTAGCTTGAAATGGGTTAGGTAGGAGCATTTACACCACAGGAATGCTACAAAGCAGAGAGAACTGGAGAACTGGTTGTTCATGTTTATCAGCACAGCACTGTGTATCATCCACCAGTCCATTCATCCTTTTATTTTTCCATTCATCTTACTGTCTATTCACCCCTCCATCCCATTTGCCTTGCTAGGCAGTCACCTAACTAAATTTATCCATTTGCTCACCTATCCATTTATCTCTCCATCCACCCGTTCATCCATCCATCCATCTACTTATCCATGAGTCTGTCCATCTACCCATCTGCCTGTCTGTTTTGCACCCATCCGTCCAACCATCCCTCCATCCATTCACCCATATTTCTGTGCATCTTGCTACTCATCCACGTATCCCCTCACCCACCTGTTCCGCCCATCCATCTACTTGCCATCCATCCATCTCACAAAGTTGCCAAGAACCTCTGATGTCACAAGCCCCCTGGGGGGTGGGGAGATGACAAAGACACAGTCCTTGTCCTCCCAGCATTGCACCCTTCCCTGAGAGGTGCCTGGGCTACTCCCCTGCCGCCTCTCCTCCCCAGCAGCGGGGTTCCCTGCAGCAGACACCGGCCCTGGCTTCCTGACATGTTGCGGGGGAGGGGGTGTAGGGCGATGCTGGAGCCAGTCCAGGCAGGAGGCTGGCTGGACTGCTGCCTGGGCCCTGGTCAAGCCCAACCCCCCAACCCGCCTGCTCCGCGTTGTCCATCCGCCACCTTACCTGAGTCTCCTTTTTGCTCTGTTGTCCCTGTTTTGTCTCCTCCCTGTCCTGCCTGCTCCTCTCGCCTGCTCTCCTTCTGCCTGGCTGCTTGGGGGCTCCAGCTTTCTCCAGACCTGACTAGGCTAAAGGAGAGATACACCAGGACTAAGAGAGACATCTTGGCTTTGAGAGTTGGGGGGAGAGACATGCAGGAGCTGAAGCACAAGTACGATTGTAAGGTATTGTTTGTCTGTCCCTCCTACGTCCTGGGCCGCAGAGGGTGGGCTGTCCCCGAGACCGGAACTGGCCGTGGGGCGCACCTGGGCAGGAGCTGGTCAGCGCCTCGGCGGGCCTGTTCCTTTCCATGCTCTTACCTCTCATTTGCTCCCCGCCCTCAAGCGAAGCCTTACCGGTTCAGGAAGTCCTGGGCGGGCTTTCAAACTCAGGGCCTTCGGAATCCCCCGTGGAGCTTTGAAACGTGCAGATTTCTGAGCTCCGCCCTCCGAAGACTCGGTGTCTGCAGGTCGGGACCAAGGCCTTGCAGTCTGCGTATTTAATAACCATGGTGGGGGCGCTGGGTTGGGTTACATAGACATCTTCCCCGTCCTGCTCAGAGAGATCCAGGGTACCTGCTTCTCAGATGGGACCCAGACCGCTGGATAATGTTGCTGCTGACAGCAGTAGCTTCCATTCATTGAGTGACTGCCCTGTGCTATGGGCTTGGAAGGCCCGAAGGCCTGGGTTTGAATCCCCATCCACCACTTTCTCTCTGTGTGATCCTGGGCAGGTCTCTTGACCTCTCTGACCTCGGTTTCCTGGCCATGAGAAATGGGGGCATCAGCAATAGCAGCCCCTGGGGTGGATGTCAGGATGAGCTCAGGCGTGTGAGGTGCTCGGTGCTGTACTCAGCACAGCCTGGGCGCTCCGTGGATGGTGGCAGTGTGACTGTGCCTGCCTGTTCTGTCCCCAGGGCCCCCTGCAGGCAGGCGTGTCACCGCTGTCACTTAGCGTTAGTGAGGATGGTTTAGGGTCCCACCGGCGTCAGCCGCAGAGCTGGGCTTCACACCTGCACTCTCCAGCCTGTGGCGCTGTCCCCATCGGACCCCGAGGCCTTCCCAGGGGGAGGAGGAGAGGCACCCTACAGCGTGCAGGCCCTTTTACAGCTGCCCCGAGAGGCTCGGTGCCTGGGGTCGGGCAGGTTGAACTTCTTGGGAAGCCGAGGCCAGAGAGGAGCGGGGAGCACCTGGAGGACCCCCGACCCGCGCTTTTCCCGGCGCGACCTCTGCACTGTGAGGTGGGGGGTGGGGTGGCAGGCTGACTCAGGGACCCCTCTGGGGTACTCACCTGCTCTTTCACTGCCCAGGAAAATGCCAACAGGAAGGCTGCAGGTGCTTCCCCCAAAGACCACGTGGGGAGTTCCTAGGCCAGCCCTGCAGGTGGCGCTCTGCCAGGCCGGGAACTGGGCTCCAGGACAGAGGTTTCCCATCTGAGCGTCTTCATGCAGTTTGGGGTCGACATCTGTCCCTCTTGTTAGTTCTCACAAGAAGGTTTATGACCCTCCCACCCAAAGGCCAGGCACTGCCACCCTCGCATTGTCCTGTGGAGGCGAGGAGGGGCTGGGCCGTTCCTCCCCCACCCTCTGCTGGCTGTTTCTAGAAAGCTGGCCTAGTTCCTGAAAAGCGCCACCCTGCCCCCCAGCCACACTCCCCACTGGTTTCCAGCAAGCCTTCCTCTCCCAGACCCCCGTGGAGCGCCCGCCCCTTCCGCTGGGGCCCCAGGGGGTGTTTGGAGGAAGAAGGTCAGAAGAGCAGAGACCAGACCCCCCTCGCCCATGAGTGCTCCCAGTTACAGCAGAGACTTCAGGAAGGAGAGGGTGTCCTAGGCAGGCACTGCCCATGATGCTAGCCGCGGTGTTATTTAGATTCAAATGAATGAAAATGAAATAGAGTTTGGGTCCTCATTCGCACCAGCCACTTTTCCAAAGTCCGAAAGTTGCATGGGGTTAGCGGCTGCCACGTTGGCAGCAGAGAGGAAGCGTGTCCGTCCCTGTGGAAGCTTCTCTCAGTGGCGCTGGCTGTGCGTCGGGGAAGATGCCAGGGCTGGGCTGGGTGCGGAGGGAAAGAATGAGTTAGGGGACAGCAGCTCTGTTTGCAGGCCAGGGCTCCCCCAGCGCCCAGGGTGCCCGCTTCCCCTCCCGGGCACGCCTCCTCTGTGCCCGAGTTCTGCTTAGCTTGCTACGCTGTTGTCCCCGGCCCTGGCCGCCGAGGGGAAGCTGCGCCCTGCTCTGTGGCAACTTCAGCCTTCTCCCCTTTCCCGGACTGTGGCTCAGTAAGAATCCTGGCTGTTTGGGGGCACGGGACGGGTTCCTCCCTTGGGTTCCGCAGGTGGGATGGAGGTGTGTACTCACCTCCTTTGGGTGGCCCCTCAAGTAACCCCGATACCCTGCAGCTTGCTTTTCTGTCCAGCGCGCTCCCCAGACCTGTCCGCTTGGTCCTCACGGCCCCGGTGAGTCTCAGCGAGAGACGGAGGCTCCCGGAGGTCAAGACGCGTCCAGAGCCACGTTGCTGGGCGTGGAGGCAGGCTAGGACCCCAGGCCTCGAGCCTTCCCCCACGTGTCCCCTCCCCTCGATTAGATGGGAGTAGGTGCAGTATGGTTAGTCCCAAAGGGGGAAAATCAAGTTAGGACCTCCCCTCGCCCATAAAGAGGGCTCCCCTAGAGAGACCCTCCTTCTCATCCTGTCCCAGGAGGTCTCCAGCGGTCTCGGGGCGCCCTGCCCCACCGTCCCCCTTGGCCTCTGCTGCCACCTCCCCGGGAGGGAACGGGCCCCGCGGGCTTGATGTTTGTCGTCCTGGCCTGGAGGCCTGGGCGGAGCTGGTGGCCCTTGGTGGCCGGTGGCCCAGGGCCTCCCTCCTCTTCTCTGACGAGTGTCTCTGCCTTTGCCCAGATGACCCAGTTCATGAAGGCCGCCCGGAGCGGGACCAAGGACGGGCTGGAGAAGACCAGGATCGCCGTCCTGCGCAAAGTGTCCTTCCTGCACCGGAAGGACGTCCTCGGTGAGGCCCTGGGCTGGCCTGGGGGAGGGTTGGTGCCCGGCCCTGGGGCAGCCGGACTGGGGGGCGAGGTCACTGGTGTCTGGGCTCCTCTGGCGGTGGGTCTTGGGGACTGAACCCCACATGTCAGGCTGCTGTCCCAGCCTATTTCCTATTTCTCTTGGAGGTGTGGCCTTCTCTTCCAGGGGAGGTGGGGCCTCTCCCTTTAGCACCCCTGTCCTTGCCCTTGGCCTTGGCCTCAGGCCTCGCGCGCTGTCTAGCTCACCTGGCCTCGCCTTTGAGTTCTGTTGTTCATCCCTTCCTTTATCGCCATCCATCTCTCCACCAGCCAGCACTTAGTGAACACCTACTAAGGGCCGCGCTCCCTGCTGGGTGCAGGGGCAGCAAGATGCAATGAACAGCATCTCCTCCAGGAGCGGGGGAGACAGGCCTGTAGACAGGAAACAAGACGGCTGGCAGGCAGCATGGTGTCATGGTGGGGTGCCTTGGTGCGAGGTGGGGAAGATGGGCATGGAATGTGGGATTGAAGGGACAGCGAAGGGCTGGGAGCAGGAGAGGGAGACCCAGGTCAGTCAGCAGGAGGGTAGGGGAGGGATGGGTGTTCCAGGCGCAGAAGGGAGCCTGTGCAAGGCCAGGAGGAGGGGCATAGATGTCCCAGAAATGATTTTCGTGATAGTTCACGTTTATCAAGTATTCGTTGCTTGCCAGGCGCTCATAAGAGCTTTACAGCTCCTCAATCCTAATAAGCACCAGACAGCGACAGAGGCCCCATTCCCGTTCAGAGAGGGGTCAGTGACTGGCCTGGGGACCCACAGGCTCCTTCCTCCTGCTGGAGGGAGGGTGGGGGGAGAGACGGGGCCAGGCCAGGGCTGTAGGCCAGGGAGACCTGAGGCTCTGCGCCCTCTTTTATCTCACCCTCTCTGTGCCTCAGTTTGCTCATCCGGGCAATGGGCTAAGATGGCATGTGTCTCAGGGGGCTGTGGTAAGGACGACCAAGGTAGTGCATGGAAAGAGCCTGGCTCAGTGCCCCCGTTCCTATGTGGCAGGCGTTATTGTCAGTGTGTGTGTGTGTGTGTGTGTGTGTGTGTGGTTGTGTGGTTGTGTGTGTGTGTGTGTGTGTGTGTGTGTTGTGTGTGTGTGTATGGTTGCGTGTGTGTGTGTGTGTGTGTGTGTGTGGTTGTGTGTGTGTGTGGTTGTGTGTGTGTATGGTTGTGTGTGTGTTGGATGGAGGATGGGGGGTGGCGCTAAGTGGAGTGTCCGGTGTCAGGACCGAATCTCTCTGCCCTGGGTCCAGATCCCAGCTCTGCTGCCTCCTGACCATGTGATCTGCACAGTTAATCCCAGCAGTGCATGTGCTGGGTGCAGCGCTAAGCCTGTGCGGGTGCCCCTGCCCCGATGAGAAGGGGTCAGGCCCAAACGTAGTGGAGTGGCCCGGAGAAAGAGCAGGGGGGACAGGCGCGCTGGCTGGGAGCAGTTCCTGGTCACTGTCCCCACCCCCAGGCCAGCCAGGCCCTCCCCTCCCGGCCAGGGCCTTCCTAAAGTGACCCTCCCCGCAGAGGCGTTATTAATAGCTGTGGCAGGGCTCGAATCACCGGCCAAGAATGCTGCCCAGCGCCACATGGGGGAAGAGGAAGCCGCAGGGCCAGAGGCTGGGGTGGGTGCGGAGCTTTCGCCCGGGTGCCATGTGGGCCCAGAAGGAGGGCCTTCACCACCCCCACCCCCACCCTCACCCCCACACTGTGGTTCGCTGTCCCTCCTCCTCCTCCTCTTCTGTCTCCTGCTCAGGTAAGGGCCCACCTGCGTGTCCCTGCTCCCTCGGCCCCGGGAGGCACCGCCACTTCTTTCTTCCCAGCTTCCCCACGGCGCCCACTTCCTGCTGCCCACGGCCGCTGCCACTGGGTGTCAGAGCCCCGAGCAGCCAGGGTCCCGACTCCTGTGTCCGCATCTCTCTCGTAGGGGCCAGACCTTCAAGGCCAGGCCTCTGCCCTCTGCCTGCCTCCCCTTCTCTCTGCCTGAGCCTGTCTCCCTGCCCTCCATCTGAGACCCACGCCCACTCACGCCCAGGGTGCCCTGCGGAAACCAGCTGAACTTTTTCCCTTTGGCATCTTCGCATGTTTTTTTGAAAGATGAAAACACAGAGCCAAACCGCTCGCTCTTTGGGGTCTTTCTTCTTCCTTTTGGGCATCCAGAAGAAAACTATTTTTAGTGCTGAATGCTGGGCTCCCAGGCGGCCGGGCCTGGCCAGGCCAGAAGCGGTTGGGTCTGAGCCGGGGCGAGGACTCTGGCGAGTGGATGCTGCTGTGTTTCCGCCCTCGCTCATGGTTCTTTGGGGACGGGCTACGGCAGGGGAGTGTGGCCAAGGATGCGGCCCCTGGGCTCTCACCCTGGGAGGCCCCAGGTGCCGCTCAGCCAGGGTGGCTCCCAGCTCCTGGAGCCTGAGCAGGGCGTGCTGCCCCGGCCTTGCGGTGTCATCAGCCTGTCTGACTTTCCAGGTGACTCGGAGGACGAGGACATGGGGCTCCTGGAGATCAGTGTCACGGACATCAAACCCACAGCCCCGGAGCTGGGCCCCATGCCTGATGGCCTGAGCCCTCAGCAGGTCTGTGGGAGGATCGGGGTGGGGTGGGTGGGAGTCTTCAGGGGAAGGAAAGTTGGGGTCCCAGCTGATTGCCTGGGGCCACAAGGTTTGCATCTTGAAGGGGAAGTGATGATTGGGGACTCTTAGCTGAACCCCAACTGGGGCCTCTTGGGTTGTCTTTCCAACCAGCTGCACAGACTTTCTAAACTGGGCGCCGAGGGCCCCAAGGATCCCCACATTCTGGTCCCTGGCGGTGGGTCCCCCTTCATACCCCCCTGAATCTGGAGCCTTGCTTCCCTCACCCATGGCAACCAGAGCGGCTCCGACTTACCTGTTTCAAATGAAGGTGCTGTTTTGACGGAAGGGACTACATTTAAAAGGGCTGAGGCACACTGAGCTCCTCTGGCTCTGAGAGGCCTGAGCGAGGGGCCCGGTCCCACCCTCCGTCCATCTGTCGTCAGGCTGGGGTCCGAGTCCCACGGGCTTCCCCTTCGAGCCGTCTCCCAGCTTCACGCCGAGCCGGGCGGCTCTGTTCGGGGACCCCAGCTATCATGTTGGTTCCCCCCCAATCTGGGTTTTCCCAGCTCCGGGCTGGGGGGGGGGGGGAGAACCTGCTTCCCTCTGGTTGTGGGGACACTAAGCAAGATGTATTCGGGGCACCAAGCTCAGTGAAGGGGTTTGCCACCTTTTGGGGGAACAGAAAACCCTGATGTCCGGCCTCTTAATCAGGGGATGGGGCTGCACCTCTCGTCTTGGGAGGCCAGCCGCCTGCTTCCTTTGTTTCTGTGACCCTGGCCCCTGATCGCCCTTGGATGGTGACCCCACTTCCCGCCCCAATGTAGGCAGCCACTGTCCGAGCAGGCTGAGCCGGCAAGTCCCCAGGCTCCCGTTTGCAGCCCAGGGCCCCCCTTCCTGGTTCGGCTGGTCTCTCTGCCCAGGAGCCTGGGACAGGGCCGTGCCTTCTCATCGTCCTGAAGCCTCCACTTTGGGGAAGGGGAGGCACCCTCTCTCACCATCAGATGCCCAGGCAAGACGAGTTACTCTAGGCCAGTGGTTGAGCCACGGTTTGCCGCTCTGTTGACTAATGAGTTTGCCGACCGCTGCGTAAGGCATTACCCTTATCCAGACGTTTTGACTTCAGGTTATAGACATTAGTACATTATTAAAATGTGTTTTTTTAAGTGTTTATCCCTAAGGCAGTGGTCGGCAAACTCATTAGTCAGCAGAGCAGCAAGCCTCGGCTCTAGAGCCGCATCTGGCTTGCGAGCCGCAGTTTGCCGACCGCTGCTCTAGGCCAGTGGCTTTCGACCAAGGTGATTTTGTGACCAAGGGCCATCGGGTAAGGTCTGCTTGTCACAACTGGGAGATGCTGCTGGAATCTCGGGGTCAGGGCCTGGGATGCGGCTAAGCATCTGACAGTGCACAGGACTGTCCACACAGTCACCTGGCCTTAACTGTCAGTGCAATTGAGAACTCTGCTCTGGGAGCAGCTTGGGCACCGGAGGGAGGGGGGGTGCGTCTAGGGCCCCCGCCCCATTCTGCAGACTGGGGAGCACGGGTGCTTCTCTGGGATGGGCAGGGGCCCTGGAAGGAAATGTTGGGCCTCCAGGCCCATTGGTCCTAGGGAGTGACGGGTCCCTTAGTTACCAGCTCCTCTGGGCACTGGGCTCCTTTCCCCTTCACCGGGGTTCTGCACACAGTAGGTCTACTCTGTGCCACTGTTGGTGCAGGCACTGACCGAGCTCTCGGCCCGAACAGGTGGTCCGGAGGCACATCCTGGGCTCCATCGTGCAGAGCGAAGGCAGCTACGTGGAGTCTTTGAAGCGGGTCCTTCAGGTACGACTCTGGGGCCCCAGGGAGAGGGGCGGGGCCTGTGGGAGGGGGTCAGAGGCCAGCTCTTTGATGGGACAGTGGGACCCCAATGGGAGACATTAAGAGTTCCCGATGCCTTGGTGTTCACAGGAGGCCTGCGCTTTCTGAAACAAACTTGGGGTTCTATGGAATGAGGGCTGTTCTGGAGGGTCCAGGGCACGGGGTCCCTTTTGTGCCTGAAAGGGACCGTGTCTTCCTTGCCCGCCTCTCTGGGAGCCCCTGGGACAGGGCCGTGCCTTCCCATCGTCCTGAAGCCCCCACGTTGGGGAAGGGGAGGCATCCTCTCTCGCCATCAGATGCCCAGGGATTGCTCGATGGTCATGTGACTCAATCAAGGTGTAGCCACCTGGTCTGTCGTCGGCATTCCTGAAACGGTGATTCTGCTGGGATGCTGTGGGCTCTCGGACTGAGGCCAACAGGGAAGGGTGTTGTCCGGGTGGGAGCCACACAGAGGGGCCCGGTCCCCGGACCTCAGGCGGGTGGAGATGAAAACCCCTGTGTGTCTGACAAAGCTGGGGGTCGGGGGGCTCCCCGGGACATCATGGCCTCTGTCCGTCAGACAGACTGGCTCAGGCAGAGCTGAACAGGGGCAGCTCAGCCTTGGGAGCTGACACCATGGAGTTCCTTCCAACCCAGCTTAACACAGAGGTTGGGGGCGGGGGAGTGGCTGTGGGTGGGCACAGAGGGGCCAGGAGGGTTACATCATGGAGGTTCTTCTAGAAGACAGGCGAGGGGAGTGAGGGAGATCTGCTCCCTCGACAGGAAGGCCCACGCCTGGCCCGCCGAGCTCTCGTTGGCCTTGGCACGCTCACCCTCGCCCCCCCTCCCCCCCCTGCCCGGCAGGACTACCGCAACCCGCTGGTGGAGATGGAGCCCAAGGCGCTGAGCCTGCGCAAGTGCCAGGTGGTGTTCTTCCGCGTGAAGGAGATTCTGCACTGCCACTCCATGTTCCAGATCGCCCTGTCCTCCCGCGTGGCCGAGTGGGACGCCACTGAGAAGATCGGGGACCTCTTCGTGGCTTCGGTGGGTGTCCCCAGGCTCTTTCCCTGGGGAAAACCACCGCCTGTCTCACCTGGTGGCCATTTGGGCCAGCCTCCTGCCTCTGCTGCTCCCCTTGTCCGGGTCAGTGGGGTCGCAAGATGACAGGGCCTGAATCTGCCATGGGGTCCAAGCGGGGGTGGGCATGACACCTTCCAGTGCTCAGGGTGGCCTTGGAGATGGCTGCAGGCGTGGTGCTGGGGGCCACCAGGAGACCGGCCACTGTGGGCAGCCACCAGGGTCTGAAGGTCCCTGGCCGGGCACTCCCGGGTGACCACTGTTTGCAGTGCTTAAACAGACCACGTCTTGGCCCCCGGCGGATGTCCCAGGGTGGGGGTGGGAGGTGGGAGACATTAAGAGTTCCCGATGCCTTGGTGTTCACAGGAGGCCTGCGCTTTCTGAAACAAACTTGGGGTTCTATGGAATGAGGGCTGTTCTGGAGGGTCCTGGGCATGGGGTCCCTTTTGTGCCTGAAAGGGACCGTGTCTTCCTTGCCCGCCTCTCTGGGAGCCCCTGGGACAGGGCCGTGCCTTCCCATCGTCCTGAAGCCCCCAGCCCTGGATCACACTCCTGATCCTGGCCTGGTCTCTGCTCGGCTTTGCCGTGTCCAGCAGCTCTCGGGCCCTCTCCGACCCAGGTCCCCCCAGTGGATTGCGGGGTGTGTTAGAAATCCCTGGGCCCAGAGAGACTCGTGAGCTAAGGAGGGTGACGTCAGTGGAACTCCACTCTGACCCGTTTGAGACATGTGGGTTCTGCTGGAAGAAAAAGGATTGAAAACCCGAGTACTTAGCAGATCCGATCCCTGGCTAGTGCGTCCTGGGAGTGTGGAGTCAGGAGCAGCACTGGCGAAGGGCCAGGGTTTTATTTTCTGGGGTGTCACACCTCACCTGTGGGCGGGGCTGCCGTGCCAGGGCAGGAGAAGCGCCAGGCTGTCCTTGTTCCCTGCCTCTTCCTCCCTGCGACCTCGGGGTCTCCTCCCCTCCCCTCCCGGGTGACAGGTGTCCCGACCTCAGACTAGGTGAGATCCCCCAGGTGTCATCAGAGCAGCTGAGGTGGGTGTCAGTGAGGGGGGTGGGCGTGACCCTCCCGTGACCCTCCCACGCCTGTTTCAGTTCTCCAAGTCCATGGTGCTCGACGTGTACAGCGACTACGTGAACAACTTCACCAACGCCATGTCCATCATCAAGAAGGCCTGTCTCACCAAGCCCGCCTTCCTTGAGTTCCTCAAGGTGGGCTGGCGGGGGCTGCAGCCCCTCACTGGGCGCTGGGGGCGGTGGTGGGGTGGGAGGGCTTCTCAGAGGGGGGCTTTGACCCAGCTTCAGGTAGCATGTTGTTTTTTTGGGGGGGCACCTCTTTCCTTCGGGGCTCCCACAGTCCCATCCTCCAGCCCCCCAACAGGAGGGGGATGATGAGTGACAGTTAGCCTCTTGGGATCCTGGCTTCGCCAGGCCTCTTGGGGATGAGTGAGATGATGGTGGGTCTGCCGTGGGGAGACCCAGCAGTGCCGGGCCTGTACCTCTGGCCGGCTGGACAGGGTGGGTCTCCAAGTATATAGCTCAGAGTGTCATTGGGCTGTCCCTTTTCTTGTTTAAAAATATATATATCTTTATTGATTTCAGAGGGGAAGGGAGAAGGAGAGAAAGATAGAAACATCAATGATGAGAGAGACTCATGGATTGGGTGCCCCCTACATACCCCTTCCTAGGGATGGAGCCCACAGTCTGGGCATGTGCCCTGACCGGGAATCGAACCACAACCTCTTCCTTATTTGTAAAAGGGCGAGGGGAATTTCTCAGAGGGGTGTCTTGGGGCTCATGTGGGAGATTAGAGGTAAAGGGACCAAAGGCCTCATGTAGCTGTGGCCAGGCTCCCCCAGATTTCTTTGGGTGCTCAGTCAGGCGGGTCAGATGGAGGCCCTGCCTGCAGGGAGCACCCAGTGGAGGGTACAGGTGAGCCAGGAGCCGGGCCTCAGCTGAGGAACCCAGTGCCCTGGTCCAGGAGAGCATATGACATGGGTCCTGGGGGTACGCTGGGATTATAGCAGGTGGAGATGGAGGAGGGGTGTGACAGGTGCAGGGTGGGGGCAAAGGTCAGAGGTAAGAAGATGGGGTCACAGGAGCACTGTTGCTGGGAAGTCCGGGGAGAGGAGGCCCAGAGGCAGCTGCATCAGTGTGGGCGTCCCTGGACCCGCGGGACAGTGTGCTTCAGGCAGTGGGAGCTGCTGCGGAGCTTTGGGCCGGGCAGAGGGACGTGGAGGCCAGTGGACAGGCAGGCTGTGGCAGCACCTGGGTTACCAGGGACGAGGGCAAGGATCTAGGTGACAGGTGTGTGGATGGAGTGGCAGGAACAGATGCAAGAGAGAGAACAGTAAGACCCCCGTGCCTGCCCCTCATCCTGGCCAGGCCCGGCTGCTTTCATTTAAGTGGAGGGAATGGTTGTCTCTGTTATTGTAGAGACACGACCTCTGCAATAAATGGCTGAATTTTCCAGTTATGCTGTCAGTCCAGAGACCTCAACCTGACTGCTCCAGTTTCTCCAGGCTGAGGGGCTGGGTGGGGACCCCGTGGTGGCCCGGAGCCCCGGCCGCGGGACCAGAGACCCCCCTGGCTCTTCTCTCAGGCCCGAGGCTGAGCAGAGTGCTGGGCCTGGGGAGAGGAGCCCATCCCGGGCGGCGTCTGCACCTGGGGGCGCGGGGGCCTCGCTGCAGCAGGTCAGCCAATGACGCCACCTCGTCTTCAACAGCGGCGGCAGGTGTGCAGCCCCGACCGCGTCACGCTCTACGGGCTGATGGTGAAGCCCATCCAGAGGTTCCCGCAGTTCATCCTTCTGCTTCAGGTACCGCCCGGGACTCTGCAGCCTCCTCCCCGCCCGGGGGCGCGCCTGGAGGGTGGGGGCTTTCCCTGTCATCTGCAGTCCCTGCATCTGCTGTGGACTGTGGGTGGGGCCTCTCCCCCTCCCGCCTGGCCCCTCCCTCTTCACTCTTGGAGTGGAGCTGAGTGGCTGGTGGTGGGTGAGCCCAGGATTCTGGAAGGGAATGAAGGCGTGTGGAACCCAGGACCTGTGGGCTCTGGGCCGGGAGGAGATGCTCAGGGAATGAGCTGACCTGGGCCATTTCAGGCTTCACAGGAAGCAATGGGCCCCCTCCCCTCGTGTTCCTGCCCCACCCTACGCCCAGTGCCTGAGACCTTGGGACATCCCTGTTAGGGGTGAGCCTGGGCCCAGCTGGGAGGGAGGCTGCCAGCCGAGGTCCCCGGCAGTGTCTTCCTTTCTGTCCTCAGAGCTGATAGAGTGGCTGTCAGCATCGGTGCATCAGGGATGAGTCCACATGCTTACTATTTTTTCATTCATTCGCTGTTTCCTGAGGCCATGCCCTATGCCAAGAACCACCTATCCTGGCTGCAAGCTGAGCCTTTCAGACCCGGTCTCCAGGGTCTCCGTAGGGGCATGGAGGCTGAGGCTTTGATCCTAGCCAGGAGAGGGTCTGCGAGGGTGGGGTCTTCAGCCCTGGCTCTCTCGGCCCTGTCAGGACATGCTGAAGAATACCCCCAGAGGCCACCCGGACAGGCTCTCACTGCAGCTGGCCCTCACGGAGCTGGAGACGCTGGCCGAGAAGCTCAATGAGCAGAAGCGGCTCGCTGACCAGGTGGCCGAGATCCAGCAGCTGACCAAGAGCGTCAGCGACCGCAGCAGCCTCAACAAGGTGAGTGTCCAGGGCTCCGCACCTGCGTGCCTGCCCTCACCTGTTCTGCAGCCTGGATCACCTCTCTGCCTCGTGGCCACCACCAGGTGGCAGTGTTCTCTGAGGAGGGGCTTCCTTGCTTCTCTCTGTGCCCACAGACCTTACCTAGAGGATTAGCCCACATTCATTACTGTTCGTGCTACTTTAGGATGAAAGCTCATTTTTTTTTTCATTCATGTCATTGCCGGTAAATGTATGGGAAATGATAACCTAATACTGTGCTTGAGCAAGTGGGCTCTTAGAGTTTGGGGTTTGAATCCTGATTTTGCTGCTGGTGCTCACTGTGTGGCCTCAGGGGAATCACACAACCTCTCTGAACCTCACTTGCTCCCACTGAAAGGAGAATTCAAAGGTGCAAATGAGGGAGTCGGCAAAGCAGCAGGTCCGGAGTCCTTAATACAAAGTGGCTATCGTCATTATCAGTGTTATTTTATTAAAGAAGAAGAAAGATGAAAAGTCCATGCTAGGTCTTGGGATTGCAGCTTAGGAATATTCTAGCGTGCCCCCACCCACAAAAAAAAATCTTGAAAAACTTTCAAATAAGCCTGTAGAGACCCCTGTTTTTAAAATACAAAGCCAGCCCCGCTGGTGTGGGTCAGGAGGTCATGGTTCGATTCCTGGTCAGGGCACATGCCTGGGTGGTGGGCTCGATCCCCAGGAGGGGCCATTCAGGAGGTAGCTGATCGATGACTCTCATCATTGATGTTTCTCTCTCTCTCTCTCCCTCTCCCTTCCTCTCTGAAATCAATAAAAACACATTAAAAAACCCCCAAACAAAACAAAACACAAAGCCAGTACAAAAAAGTCACTTCTAAGAGCCACCTGCTGGCAGACGTCAGTCCTCTGTGTCCGAGGGGCATGTGACCTTGGCTGCCTGTGTGCGTACCCAGATCTGTACCCCGGGCTTCTCTCACCTACCGGAGGGCGGAAGTCGGCCCAGATGGTCCGGGTGAGGTGCCCCCGCCCAGGGCACATTGGCGGGAGCGTCCTTTGTTGGGGAAGTGACTTTGTGCTGAGTCATAAGGAGGTGCTCAGGTCTTTTTTGGGGAAAACTGGGAGCCTCTGGGCTCTGTGGGCCCGAAAGCAGAACTAAGGCTGGTGACTAAGGCCAGGGAGATTTCAGCCACGCGGGTGGGATGTTTTGTACAGGAAGGGTTGTCAGGAAAAAGCAGCCCTTTCCAGAAGGACTGCAGCCTTCCCATAAATAGTGCTCTCTAACCCACAGGGCCATTTACTTTTTATTTTTAAATCTTTTCCACAGCCTGTGAACCTGGGCTGGGACAAGACAACCCGCAGGGCTCCTACAGCTTGAGACTCTCCCACCTCAGGCCAAATTCAGGCTGCTCATACGTTTTTGGGCCCACACAGTAGTTAAAAAAAATAATTAAAAAAATGGAGCCTTAACCAGTTTGGCTTAGTGGATAGAACATCGGCCTGTGGACTAAAGGGTCCCAGATTTGATTCTAGTCAAGGGCACGTACCTTGGTTGTGGGCACATCCCCAGTGGGGAGTGTGCAGGAGGCAGCTGATCAATGTTCCTCTCTCATCGATGTTTCTAACTCTCTATCCTTCTCCCTTCCTCTCTGTAAAAATAAAATAATAATAATAAAATATATATATATATCAATAAAATATATATTTTTTTAAAAAGGAATTAGTTGCGAACATTTGAAAATGGAGAGCTATCCCATAAAATTCAGACTTGTGGGTCCTCCTAAAGGATCGGAAGCGCTAGGAAACCTATAGGTGTTGGGCCAGGAACTTCCTAGATGGTAGCCCCTCCCCACGTTTCCCAGTGAGGTTCCCTGCTGGCCCCACAGGCATCTGGGTTTGCTTCACCTGTTCCAGGAGGAAAGAGATGGGGAAAAGACGGGGGAGAAGATAGAGCCTCCTCCTGGGGGGACGTCCCCATCCGTGATTGATCAAACTGGGCATGAAGGCTGGGCGCCATCCGGTCCTCTCCCTGCCTCTAGGCGGGAGCCCCTCTAGTAACGTCCATGCCTTCTGTCTCTGGAGAAAAAGACTTCGTTCAGCCCAGCCGTGGCCACCCCTGCTTTGGAACTTCTTCTGTCTTCTGCGCTAGCTCCTCTTCTATAACCAGGAGGGTTTTTCTTTTTCTTTTTCTTTTCTTTTCTTTTATTATTATTATTTTTTATATTTTATTGACTTTGTACAGAGAGGAAGGGAGAGAGATAGAGAGTTAGAAACATCGATGAGAGAGAGTCATCGACCAGCTGCCTCTTGCACACCCCCTACTGGGGATGTGCCCGCAACCAAGGTACATGCCCTTGACCGGAATCAAATCCGGGTCCTCCAGTCCCCAAGCCGACGCTCTATCCATTGAGCCAAACCGGTTTCGGCAGGAGGGTTTTTCTTGCCTCTGCTCACGCACCTGTGCAGCCGCCGTGGGGAGAGACTGCTTTGCCCTAGCAGTTACTCTGGGAAGAGTCATCTCTTTATTTTGCTCTGTCCCCCAGGGGGACCCGGGCAGGAAGGCGTGGTGGCCATTGGCTGGAGGTCAGGAAAACCTGTTGGTGTTGGGCAAGGAACTGCAGGCTCTGAGTCTGTTTCTCATGTAGGGGGTGTGCTTGCCAGGTATGGATGCTGTGAAGAGGGTGGTGGCGGCCGCCCCCATACCTTCCCCCTGCCAGGGCCCCCTTGGGCAATCTCAGCCAGGCCAGTGGCTTTCCCCTGGTCCATCACCCGGGGGAAAGCAGAAGCGAAACCGGGTGGGCCCCAAACGGAACTGAGCGGCTATTTCATAATGTGCCTGCTCGGGACCCTCCGGGGACAGTTGTGCAACATCTGAGTTTTCTCTTTCTTGTTCAGTCTGCCGAAGGGCAGGGGGTGGTTGCCAGAGGCCCAGGGGACTTTCCTCTTCCAAGTTCTGGGTCACGGCACACTTGGCAGTCTCTCACGGGCCCGCTGCCCTCAGCGTCCCAGCCCTGTCTCTGAGCTGGGCCAGCTCACTGGTAGAAGTAGTGGGAGGAGGTTGGCCTTGGCAGTGATGGGGGGAACCTGAGGTATCTCGAATCTTTTTCTTGTGTTCGGAGCAGTGGGTTCTCCCCTGACTCTGACAGCCCAGCCAGGAGCTGGAGGGACAGCGCCCGTGGCCTGGCTCCATCCAAGCTGCGGCTCAAAGGTCTCCTCATCTCTGGGCTCTCCGTTTCCTCCTCTGGGGATGGGCATGGCCTGGGGACCGCTGAGCAAATGAAACGAGAAGCAGAATGCTCAGTGCCGAGCTCCGTGCCCGGCGCACAGTAGGGTTTCGTACTGTTTGCGCCTCTCTGTTGACACGAGACGCGTGTTTTTTTTTTTTTTTTTTTTTGAGATCGACAGGCATTTTTCCAGGAGGGGTTGGGGGGCTTTGCCCTTTCCCTGGTGAGGGGGGGGGAGGATGGGAGGATAACTGTTGCCCTTGGAGTCATGGGTTTTGGGAATGAATTTTGCTAAACTTCCCCCCTCCCCCACCTGCAATATTCCTATTAGTAAAAGGATGTTTTCCCAGGGGAACCCCAGGTGGGATGGTGGTCCCAGGGCTGGAGGGGGTTCTGGGTGTCCAGGCTGCAGAGAGGCCTGGGGCTCGAAGGCCCTTTGGCCACCTCAGAGGGTCGCCTAGTTGACCAGCAGACCCACCTCGCTCCACTGGGAGCCCTTCCCAGGGCCGAGAGTGGACAAGGCTGTTCAACAGGTCAGGGTGCAGGGACCGGACCAACTTCCAGGCTGGGGTCTTTCTGCGTGAGGCCACACCTCTTCCCGGGGAGCTCGGTCACAGACAGCAGCAGCGGGACAGCTGCCATCTCTGCACTGTCACAGGGCCGGGGCGCAGAAGGGCCTGCGCTGGCTTGTATTATAATTTGTAGTAACTTGAATGAGGGGCACATTTCCATCTCACCCCAGGCTTGGGAAGTTAGGCAGCCACATCTGCTCATGCGTTACCATGGTGACCTGAGGGTGGAGTTTGTTGCCCCACTTGACAGCTGAAGTGTGGGCAGGTGGAATGACCCCCCGGATGGCTTCCCAGCTGGTCCTCGGGGAGCCGGGGCTGGGGTCCCTGTGGTGCTGGCCAGGTGGGGTTGCAGAGGGACGGCTGCAATGGCTGGCTCACCTGAGAGGAATGCTGCTGCCGGGCAGGGTGGGTGGTCAGGGGACCCCGCCCAGGGCCTCCTGTCACCTGGAGGTGGAGGGCGAGGCCCTGCCTCCTCTGCCTCTCTCAGCCGCGGCCTCCTTTTGGCCAGAGAATTCTGGGTCTTTGGCCCGGTGATGTCCGTGTACCCGCCTGCACGCTTGTTGGTGTTGACCTTGCTCTGTCCCCCTCCACCAGCTGTTGACCTCGGGCCAGAGGCAGCTGCTGCTCTGTGAGACGCTGACGGAGACGGTGTATGGTGACCGCGGGCAGCTGATCAAGTCCAAGGAGCGCAGGGTCTTCCTGCTCAACGACATGCTGGTCTGCGCCAACATCAACTTCAAGTGAGCGGCCGGGCCCGCCCCCCTTGGGGACCTATTCCTGTCCTTCCCAGTCCCCCGGCCGGCCCCTCCGCGACAGGGTCCCTTGACGGTCCCCTCCTTGACAGGGTCCCTCCAATGGCCCCTCTGTGACAGGGTCCCAGGGAGCTCAGCTGAGGTCTCTCATATACCAGCTTCCTCTCCCATCTCTCCTGGCCTGCTCTGTTCCTGGTCCCGGAGCCAGGAAGCACCTGGAGAGCTCACGGGGTCATGGGGGACCCCGGCCTTTGGGAGACAGTTGTTCGTTGCACAGTGTGGTCGGTTCTGGTCCCTGAACAGCCTCTCGAGTTCTGACCACTCTGAAATTCATGAGGTTCTGTGTCCAGCTGCTCTAGTTCCCATGGCTCTTCCCCCGCTGGACCTCCGTGTTTCTCACATGAGCCTGGGCCTGTCCCCCAGCTGCCCAGAGCATCTTCTTCCTCAGGAGTCTGGGCGCTGCTCCTGGGTCAGAGGTCAGAGGTTGTAGAAATGCCCAGAGCTGGCTGCCAGGCTGTCCCCAGAGGGGTTGGAGCCCTGGACTGGGGGATGGTGATTCTTTTTTTAAAATATATTTTATTGATTATTTACAGAGAGAAAGGGAGAGAGATAGAGAGCTAGAAACACTGATGAGAGAGAAACATCGACCAGCTGCCTCTTGCACACCCCCTACCGGGGATGTGCCCGCAACCAATGTACATGCCCTTGACCGGAATCGAACCTGGGACCTTTCAGTCCGCAGACCGATGCTCTACCGCTGAGCTAATCCGGTTTCGGCGATGGTGATTCTTTAGACTGGAGTCAGCAGACTTGTGGCCCAGGAATCTTTTCACGTACGCCATTCACCCAAACATGCAGGAGACATTTGTTGTTCTTGAAAATGTGAGGATCCCACGTTTGGGGCCCATGTGGCCCAGGGCATACATGTCTCCTCTCCTGCTGTCCTCTGTCCCAGCAGCTGTTCGCTCACCCATATCCTGGCTTGGCCTTGTAGGTGGTAGGGTAGATGGCCTTTTATCAAAGGAATTGCAGCTGGACCTCTCTAGCCAGGCTCCTGTCCACTTGTGGAGGGAAATCTCTGCTCCCTGTGTTGAATGCACTTTAGAAACACCCCGGACAACATCCAACACCCCCCAAGGGAAAGCAGTTACCGTAGTGAATCCCAGCCTGACGCTCCCTCCCCCGCCTGGAGCACCCGTGGGGTCAGGATGCCCACGGAGCCTGGCTTAGATGTCACACCCAGGGTCGGCTGTGCACCTGCCCGTGACCATAACCAGGGTCATGGTGCAGAGTAGGGGATTGCCATGGTTACAGATTCCATGCCTACAAGGGGAGCTAGCAGGGTTGTTTGGAGACTTGGGCACTAGTAACCCATCAGATACTCAGTGAGCCCTTGCTTTGTGCCAGTCCACAGGTAGAGAACTCAGGCAAGGAAGCCTGTGTCCCTGAGCAGAGCGGCAGCCCGCTCTCCCACACTCTCATTTTTAAGTTCCATTGATGTCCTAGGTCAGTGGTCGGCAAACTGCGGCTTGCAAGCCACGTGTGGCTCTTTGGCCCCTGGAGTGTGGCTCTTCCACAACATACCACGTGCGGGCGCGCACCTACAGTGCGATTGGAACCTCGTGGCCCATGCGCAGAAGTCGGTTCAGCTCTCAGAAGAAATGTCAATTGTTGTACTGTTGATATTTGGCTCTGTTGACTCATGAGTTTGCCGACCACTGGCCTAGGTACCGTTCTGACCAACACCCTCTCTGCCCACCTAGCATGATGAGAAAGTGAGATGGGGATGCTAGTGGTCACTTTGGAGGGGGTGGGGATCAGACTGGTGATTTGGGGTGAGTCCTGTGACCTGTCTGAGCATCAGTGTCCTCGTCTGGAATAATAAGGGCTTCCTGCAGGGCCCTGTGGAGAGAGGTGACTGGAGGCCAGTGGCCTGCCCAGGAAGCAGGCCCTCCGGGGGATCCCATCTGCCCACCCCCAGCCAGCCCTCAGCTGTCTCATCCCCTGTAGAAATCGCTCGCTAACAGTAACCATCTCTCCCTCCTTCTTGTCCCTTTCCTCAGGCCTGCCAACCACAGGTAGGGGCGTGGAGGCTTTGGGTTCAGCTGATTCTGGATCTGGGGCTGGGGACGGGGTGCCTGGTGCTTTTGCCTTGGCGACGGCTCCCTGCCATGCCCGGCTTGGTTTTGGCCTGAGCGTTGTGCTGGGCGGTGAGGTGCCTGGCTGAGCTGCCGTGCTGAGGAGGGGCATCTGGGCTGGCCCGGGGCTGGGGTGCTGCTGGCTCACCAGGCCTCCGTCCATCTCTCCGTCCCTTAGGGGCCAGCTGGAGATCAGCAGCCTGGTGCCCCTGGGGCCCAAGTACGTGGTGAAGTGGAACACGGCCCTGCCGCAGGTGCAGGTGGTGGAGGTGGGCCAGGAGGGCGGCGCCTACGACAAGGACAACGTGCTCATCCAGCACGCCGGCGCCAAGAAGGCCTCAGCCTCGGGCCAGGCTCAGAGTGAGTACCGCCGGGTGCCGCCCGGGGAGCACCTGCTCAGGCTCCGGGGCCCATCCGGGGGCCCCCCAGGCCAGTGGGCCACTGGGCCAAGAGCTCTTGCTGGTTTAGAACCCCCCATACCCCCACACACAGCCCAACCCCTGTGAGCACATGCACATCCCACAGCCTCACCTGCACACACAGGACAGGTGCTCCCTGCCCTGCCCGCTCCAGCCCCAAATACACCCCCCTCTCCCACACACACACGTGTGCACACACGTGCCTGCACAGGCAATGACTTGGAGTCAGGAAGCTGACTTCCAGTCCTCGCCTGGTCATTGCCTGCCTCCCTGAGGGATGCCGGCAGGTGTCACTTCCTCTCTGTGCCTCAGTTTGCCCCTCTGGACAGTCAGGGAGGGTCTCAGGTGACACTAATCCTGCCCCTACATCCTCAGGGTCCAGGTCAGGGCTTCCTGGCCCCGCCCGGGTCCTCCTTCCCTTGTCCTGACCATCCCTTGGGCTTCTTTTGTCTACTTGCCTTCACTCATCCGAGCTCAGGCGGCCCTTCCTCAGGGAGCCCTTTCAAATTCCTGTGGCCTGGACCTGGTGCCGCCCCACCCGACCCCCACTTTCCCCTGACCCCCACCTCCCCATGCTCTCAAGGCTAGAGCATTGGCTGCCGTTTTGCCGTTGGTGTGACAGTAGCCCTGCCCCGAGCTGGTTCCAGGGGTGATAACAGCCGTTTGCCAAATGAATGAAGGGTGCTGACCGCAGAGCCAGCAGAGAGGAGCACTTAGCCGGGAGCACCTTCCGCAGGCTGAAAGGGCGCTTGGCTGCACTCCCTCCCCGCACGGGGTGGCCGGGCTCGGCTCAGGCTCTGGGCTCTGTCCATCGCCTGACCCTGGAGGTTGCCTCATGGGGCTGTTGTCCATTCTGGAAGCAGGGTGATTGCATCATCTACTCTCACCCTTGGAGGGCTGGCCGGACAGCTGCACCCACATCCGGAGGCTGCGTTTCTTCCCCTGGGCTGGCCCAGCTCTACTCCTCCCGCTCCCCCAACCCCCACTCTGGCACCTCCTTCAACTGCTGTCTGTCTGTGCTTCCTCCTGAGATGACAGTCAAATGCTGCCAGACCCCCTTTCAGGGGAAAAAGTTCTCATCAAACCCCAGTTGGCCGTGAATGATTTTTTATTATATTGTTATTCAAATGTGTGCAAATATCAGGCTAGGTATAATTGACGCCTTATGCTCAGACCCTTTGAACACTCATAAAACCAAAACAAAAACCACAAATGGGACAAAAATGAAGCTGCAAAACCTTAAAATTCAAACGAACAGCATTAATGCCATGAGAGGGGGATGCTGTTTTGCTGGCACCACATTGCTCACAATATGGATGTAGCCTCCTACGGGGCAGGCTCTTTGCACCCACGACCCAGGGTGCCGTATGGTGACCCGCATTCCCGCCAGCGTACCTGTCGGGGTCCCTGCAGAGCCCATCCTGCCCTTGGTTTGGTATGAGCCATCCCTCCCTCCCCTGGCCACCTTCTCCCTGCTCCCTGGTGGCCATTCAGCTCGCCCTGCTCAGTACCAAGGCCCACGGGAGCCCGGACTCTGCGCAGCACACGTGGCTTTGAAATCATCCTCTCCAGATGACTCCGGATACGCATCACATTTTTAGATAATCATCTCAACGACACCCCAAAATAACTCCCCTTGCAGGAGTCCATGGATCTCAGCTTGAGAAGCCACGGCCTAGAGAATACAGCCCACGTTCCCTAGCGTGACATAGAAGGATTTCTCCGTCCTGTCCTGCGGGCCCCTCCTGCTCTGTCTCTTGCTGTCTGTCTCCCAAGTCCCCGGCACTCCCTTTGTGTCATCGGTAGAGATCTGGGCATCCTCCCCTCCACCCCAACCCCCCGCCATCACTGTCTCATCGCTCTGATAGCATTCTCCTTAGTACCTCCCATCTCCTGTGGCTGTAACTGACTGCGTCCCCAGTCTTCCCCTTCCCCCAGGTCATACACTCCATAAGTGGGGACCCTGTCTTGTTCACACCTGTCCCTCTCACACCTGGAATGGAACCTGGCACATAGTAGGTCCTCAGCATGCTTTTGAACAACTTGCTGTTCACAGGCTTCCTCAAGCCACAGTGCCTTTGCACATGCTGTTCTCCTTCCTGGCAGTGCCCACCCCTCTCCTGGCCCCATGAGGGCTCCTCGTATCTTGCAGGCAGAATTGGTTCTGTCTTCTGGTCGCCGGTGACCCTTTGTCGGGATTGAGTGTGCCCTGGACGTTCCCTGGGCTGGCCCTGTGCTCCCCGGTAGACAAGAGCCTGGGAGTGTTTCTTCCTGTCTCTCTGCTGCCCTGTCCCCAGGGCGACAGCTCTTCCTTTCTGCGGTGTGTGGGCACTGGGGTTCTCATTGGCGTCTTCCCTCTCCCGAGCTGACCTGGCCTCTCTCTGCCCAGGTAAGGTGTACTTCGGCCCCCCGCGGCTCTTCCAGGAGCTGCAGGACCTGCAGAAGGACCTGGAGGTGGTAGAGCAGATCACTGTCCTCATCGGCACGCTGCATGGCACCTACCAGGTACGACGCGCTGGCCTGGCCTGCGGGGCTCCCGCTCCGTCCCCTGGGCAGTCCCAGGCTCAACAGGCAGAGTGGACAGGCAGAATGGGGACTCTTCTCCTGGCCCAGGCTGTGCCTCTGAGTTCCCCCAACCAGCAGGAGTGGCCACGCCCACTGTCTTCACCTAGCAGTCTGGCCTGTGGCCTCTGGTCCAGGTTGAAGCTCTGGTTCAGGTGGAGGGGGCCTGGCCGCCTGGTAACTTTTGTTGTTTTCTGCGCGGTGGCCAGCCAGTCTTGCAGCCCCTTCCTGGCGTTGCCCTAGGCTGGGAAGGAAGCCGCTAGGAGGGTGTGTCCCTCTCAAAACAGGGGTGTGGGGTGGGCTCTGAGGATCTGGCGTGGCTTCTGGGGAGCCGGTGGGCTGCGTGGGGACTCCGTTGGCCTCCTCCTCCGCCCTAGAACCTGAACACGACCGTGGCTCAGGACTGGTGCCTGGCCCTGCAGAGGCTGATGCGGGTGAAGGAGGAGGAGATCCAGTCGGCCAACAAGTGCCGCCTCCGGCTCCTGCTTCCCGGGAAACCCGACAAGTGAGAGCGGAGGGGCCGGCGGTGAAGGGGGGGGGTGGGGGGCACTCGGAGGGGGCACTGGAGCTGTTCCGCTGTCAGTATCGCTGTGATGGGAGGGGTGTGGATGCACCGTGGCCATGCCCACCGCCGAGGGGCCCCCATGCTCCGAGGTGGGATGCCAGAGTGGTGACAACACTGACCTCTGCTGCCTCTGGCCTGGCCGTAACCCCCTTCATTCACGTGTCCATTGGCAAACAGTTACCAGGCAACTGGCCTTTGCCAAGGGCTGTTGCCCTGAGGATATGGCACCGGAAATACAGGAGGAAACATGGCAGAGGCTCCCGGAGCAGGTGTCTGATAAGGCCCGTGGCAAGCTGACCCGGTGGAGCCCTGGCAGGGCCTCTCGCCTCAGCCTACAGTGGGCCAGGCACCTCTGGCGTTGCTAGGCGCCCAAGCCGAGGCACCTGGGGCTGGGCTGCCGTGTGGCCTGGCTCTCTGGGGGAGGTGCCTTGCTCCTGGGGCCATGGTGGGTGGAGGGACCCCTCCCCCAGGGGACTGAGGCTTTGCTGGGCAGGCCACCAGCCTCCCTGGCACCCTTGGCTGCTCTGAGCAGACCTTGCTCCCAGGCATGGGGTTGAGGGAAGAGCTGGGTGGTGGGCCCCGGGGGAGCCAGGCCCTTGCTCTGAGCACTCACACTCTCGCCCTTCTCGCCCTTCTTCTCGCCGAAGGTCCGGCCGTCCCATCAGCTTCATGGTAGTCTTCATCACCCCCAACCCCCTGAGCAAGATCTCCTGGGTCAACAGGCTGCACCTGGCCAAGATCGGACTCCGTAAGGAAAGCTCCAAAGGGAGCACCTGAGGGGGCAGCGGGGGGAGAGGGGAGGTTTGTGGGGGGTGTATGTGTGCGTGGGGGGCGTCCAGGCTCATGGAGGGAAGGAGGATCCTGAGTTTGGGTGGGGGAGGTGGTGGGGCAGCTGGAGCAAGGGTTCTGAGTCTTGCAGCTGCTCAGTGACCTTGGACAAGTCATTCTCTCCCGAAGCCTCAGTTTTCCCATTTATAAGAGAGTGGGAATCAGCATGGTAAATTAGTGGTTGTCCAGGGACCTGAGAGACGGGGGATTGGAGAGGGACTGCTGTTTTTTTGTTTTGTTTTGTTATTATTGTTGTTTTAGTGGGGGTGATACAGATACTCTCAATTTTGGAGTGATAGTTGCCCAACTCTTAATATGCTAGAAACCAGTGAAGTGTACACTTTAAAAGGGCGGCTTTATGGTAGCTGAATTACATTGTAACAAAGCTGTTATCCAAATGTGATGCAGGGTAGACCAAATGGAGTTTCTAACAAGGACTTCTTTAGGATCCTTTTCTCTTGTGTATTTTGACCAAATACAGCCAGCAACGGGTACCGGTATTCACAGAGCGCTTCCTGTGAGCGAGCATTTTCCTGAGCATTTTCCTCTCCTCCTTCGTTTCACGTCGCAGTAACCCTAAAGGGCAGGGCTGCTTGAGCCCCTTTCGCAGGGGAGGTTCGGAGCCCCGGGCGGTGCTGTGACTTGCCTGAGCTCCGACAGCCGGAGGGACAGCCGGGGCAGCCGCTCCTATCCATCCCGCTTCCTCCATGTGGCGAGTTTCTGACTGCCAAGCCACATTCATTAAGTTATTTGTGTTTTTTGTAAATTGACCAAAGGCCCCTGTCCTTGCCGATCAGAGCCATTATTCCTTGCGATGTGCTGGAATTCTCTTTTGCTGATTCCAGCCGATAGCGGCGACTGCTTTCTTGGTTTCTGCTGTGATCTTTTCTAGATGAGTATACATTTCCAATAGGCTCTGCCATGTTTCCGGAAAGGGGCCAGGACTTCCGTCAATTAAACAACGATCTATTGAGTCTCTGCAGTAATTTTAGGCAGAGGGTAAAAGAACAGTATACAAACAGAAAGAACCCTACCCTCAAGGAACTCACGATTCATGAGGGGCAGGTGGACTTAACATGGGGAGCTAACTATCAGGGAGGGGGTGTGCTGTGAAGGTGCAGTGCTGGGTGACCTGATCTGCATCAAGCCCGGGGATTGGGAGTGCTGTCACGGAGGGCATCTGAGGAGGTGACATCTGAAGCCACGCAGAGCTTCAGGAAAAATGGTCAAAGCTTGAAAACAGCACGTGCAAAGATCCTGAGGTAGCCAGAGCTGGGGGATTGGGCAGGTGGAGGTGGGGACAGGTTTTCCCGAAAGCCAGGGCAAGGTGTATGGAGCTTGACGGGGAGCTGTTAGTTGTAGTACTGAGAGCTAGACAGTGGCATGGCCCAGGTCCTATTTAAGCAAACCATTCTGGTGCCGTGCAGAGGGCACGTGGAGGTTGGGAGGGCATGAGAGGAGGCTGTGGCTTAGGGGAGCCAGGATCAGAGGCTTCTGCTCTCCAGTCCCTTCTAGGATCTGGTGCTGATGTGCCCAGGCCTCTGCTGGGTGTGTCTTAGTGACCAGGAGGGCGGGGGAAGGGTTGTAAGCAGAGGTGGTTCCTGGCCCTGGCAGAGGATTGTGGGAATTCTGGCCCACGGAAAGGCTAAGCTGGCCCCTGCCGCCTGCTCCGGTCACACCCCCGCTGGTGCAGCGGCTGCGTCTTGGGCAGAGGCCTATGCCTTGTTCGTGCACCTGCTCTGAAGGCAGGTGACTCTGCTGGAGCCCCAGCTGCTTTGCTGAGCGGGGCTTGGCGTCAGCGGGAGGAGCGGACTGACGGGAGCCTCGCAGTCCTCGCTCAGCCGCCCCGTCTGCGCAGTTTCACTGCAGCAGAAAGTTTTAATGGAATGGGAGTCATTTCAAATCTTATTTTGAGTGCCTGGGTTCCCCTGGGGCTTGAATAATTTGTGCGTTTTATTTTGCCAGTTTGTTTTATCTGCAGTGCCTGGTGGGGAGGGGAAAATAACATGAGCCCATTAAAATATGTTTTTATTCACAAAGGATGTTATTCCTTTAATTTCCCTCCCCCATATCTTCCTCTCACCCTGACTGCACGGGGCTTATCTCATGGGGCTTATCTCACGGGGTATATCTCACAGGCTCGGCCCGGGGCCTCTCCCTCGCTGCCTCTGATGAGATTGGTATTCCAGCCCCCAGCCCTCCCAGTAACACCACTGCTCCCCCTTGCGATGGGTCCATCAGGGAGGCCTGAGCACGGCCCAGGTATGTGCCAGGAGTGCTGTGACCCTCATGTCCTTTAACCCTCAACCTGAGGCCGGGACCTGGCTGAGCCCTCCCTGGAAGTGGGTCTGCCCTCCAGGAGGGCGCCGAGGTGGCCGTGGGCATGACGGGGTGTTACCCAGCTGGGTGACCATGGCCACTCTCCTGGGTTCCAGGGGAGGGGTGTTCAGAGAGGACGCGTGGTGATGTCCTGCCAGCCCCCTGTCTGTCCGGGAGCTGTGAGAGGGAGTGACAGAGGCATGGAGCTGGGTCTGAGCAGGAGTTTGCCAGGCGATCGGTGGCGCTGTGGGGGAGCCCCATGGGCAGCGCCCTTAAGCGTAGTAACAGGCAATGCTCTCAACCTCAAGGAAAGTGACCAGACGGGCACTCTTTCTCGAGTGCTGGGGGTATGCCAGGCCCTACAGCCATTCTCCCCAGTGCTCACAGAGCTGCAGATGGCTGGAGCAATTCCCCGTTTTCCAGATGCGGCCACAGCCTCTGAGGGCTAAGTATCCGGCTCTGCGTGGCACTGCGTGAGGCTGAGGTGGGATCTGGGGGGCTGCTCTGCAGGCTCGGAGGTGGGGGAGCGGCAGGGGCACGGCCCCCAGCCCTGAGCTACTCCCCCTTCCCACGGCCACTCCTTGGTTCTGTGGGCACCGCAGAGGCTGGGCGCTAACAAGCCCCTGCCAACGTCACTTGGAAACCACAGCGTGGGCGCCGGCGCCCGTCCTTCATGTCACTTGTCCCAGGTGGGCCTTCCGTGTGCAGCAGCGGCAGCTTCCAGCTCTGTCTCGGCCGCCGGGTTGTGGCAGGGACAATGGCAGTGGCAGATGAGGAGCAGCGACTCCATTCTCCTTTAAGGCTCCCAGGCGCAGGCACCATCTGGAAGGAGAAGGTCAGGTCATTAAGAAATACACATCCTGCCGAAACAGGTTTGGCTCAGTGGATAGAGCAATCGGCCTGCGGACTGAGAGGTCCTAGGTTTGATTCCGGTCAAGGGCATGTACCTTGGTTGCAGGCACATCCCCAGTAGGGGGTGTGCAAGAGGCAGCTGATCGATGATTCTCTGTCATCGATGTTTCTAACTCTCTATCCTTCTCTCTTCCTCTCTGTGAAAAATCAATAAAAAATATATTAAAAAAAAGAGAAAGAAATACACATCCTAACGAATCGCAGGACTCCGTGGGCTATTCCGGGGTGGTGCGGGGAGGGGAGTGGGGCTCAGGGGGAGGTGTGATTGGGGCATTATGTTCACGGACTGAGCTCTGGGAAGCCTCCTGTGAGGGGCGGGGTTTGGGGGCTCTGCTGGGCTTCCGTTTGGTGGAGGGGAGGGTCTGTGTGACGTAAGCTCCTTGAGAGCAGGGGCATGCTCATATCTCGCAGTCCTCATTCCCTCCTAGGAGGTGGGTGCTGCCAGGAGCAGGGGTGTCTTGGCAAACACCTTGCATGGCGGGCGCTGTGTGAAGGGCCCCCTGGCTTAGTCCCTGGGCCCTGGGCCTGCCTGTGTCTTCCCCGGCCTCTGCTCGGGGTAGATGGGGAAGGAAACACTGACCCCCTGGCGGCCAGGAGGATGAGAGGAGAGCGTGGGGGGCCGCTTTGTAACCTGGTGTGGCGCCCGCAGTCCTGCTAGGCCGATGCCCGCCCCGTGCCCGTGCCCGTGCCCTAGTTGTCCTTTCCTTGGCGGCCTCGCCTCCTCAGTGGGAGGAACCAGGCTTAATGGGCTTTGTCTCCGGAGCCCAGGGGGGCAGAGGGCTTGTGTTTGGAGTGAGCTCACCACCCTGGACTCTGCTGCTTGAAGGGGTGGGTGCTCTGAGCGGGAGAGCAGGCGGGACGGGCACTGATCAGGCCTGACCTTTGCAGGCGTCTCTGACGTCTCTGACGTCTCCAAGAGCATCCACACCTGCCACCGCGTCCCAGCTCGCTCGCCGTGACTGACGCTCAGGCGCCACTTCCTCGGGGGCAATGGCGTTTTCTCAAAGGCCACTTCCTGGGGCACGATTGGCAGACAGCAGGCTGTGCATGGCGAATGCGTGCGACTTGATGAGTTTGGAGTATGGGCCCCTGAGCCCATCCCCAGTCTATGCCACATCACAAACCCATCCCCAAGCCCCTCCTGCCCGCTCACTGTTATTGTGCGTGATAAGAACGATGCATGCCAGGCCCTCTGAGCAGATCTCTGAGCACGTCCTGCGGAGCAGCCAGCCGCAGGCGCCGTGCTGCAGACGGCCTGGGGCTTAGCTTGTGTGACCCAGACGTGGCGCCCTTCATTGCCGACTCGTTTCCCCTCCCTCATGGTCTCCTCCAGGGCTTGCTCTGCGCCTGGTGGCGGGAAGGCTGTGCCATGCCGGTTCAGTCCATGAGCTCTCTTCCAGCTCCAGAGCTCTCATCTTCCCTCAGCTCCACGTCACTGTGCTACATGGCCCCTCTCCCTCAGGGTGTCCCAGCGCCCCTGCTCTTGGGGCTGAGCCTCCTCCTCACTGTCCAGCGTCACCATGTCAAGGGTCAGTATTGCTCATGGCTGTCGGTCGGAGGCTAGGTGCTGGAAGAATGCCTGCTTTAGTGCAAAGCACCTGGGCTTTGCGTCAGGCAGTCCTTGGTCCCCATCTGGGCTCGGCTACGTAGGCATGCCTGTGGCCCGGTCAGCATACTCCCCGAGTGTCTGTCTCATCATGCACCAAGGGGAAGTCATTAGCAGACTGTGCTTGGTCCATGTGAAAACAAAGCCAGGGAACACGCACATGGCACTCGGTGTGTGCCTAGTGCATGGACACACAGTAGGGCGCCCCAGCTGTGCCGTGGCCCCGCTGTCCAGGTCCCAGGAAGGCAGTTGCCATATGGAGTGTCGCCATGTGGAGCGTAAGGATGGGCTCCTTAGCAGGGAGAAATGGAGGTCTGCTCACCCACTCACTTGCTCACTCCTTTCATTCACTCTTTCAACCCGTGTTTGCCGAGCACTAATTGTGCAGGCAGCATGCTGAGTGCCAGGGAGACAGTGATGAATGAGATAATCTGGGTCTGGCACATTCTAGAGACATATGGAGATGGATTGTAAACAAGAAAGTAGACACAGAGATTTGAGATTGTGGTGAAGGCTACGCGAGAAGTCTGACAGGGTCTTAGAGCCAGCGGCGTTCCCCCGGAGACGAGGGAGCCACTGTAGCCAGGGTGGTCATGGAGGACTTCTTGGAGGCGGCAGCCTGTGAAGGAACCACTGGTACAATGGATGATCTTGAGCACAGAGGTCTCCAAATGTGAGTCGAGGGCCTGGGTGTCTGTACTTGTAACAGGTCTATGCCCAGCTTGACTGGGGGACCTGGAGGTTTCAGGGTAGCGTCAAAGGAAGCCAGAGTAAGAGTCTTCCACAGCACCATCCTCATCACCGTCAGGAATAAAAGCAGCTGGACCTTGTCATCACAATTGAAAATCTCCTTGTCCACGTGCTGGTCTTTGATCCTCTCCCTCTCAGAAGCTAGGGCAGGGCAGCCGGGCCTGGACTTAGTCCAGCATCTTAGCGCTTCCTGAGCCCCCCTTCCCTGTGTTATTCCACTGGATGCTCACAGCTGCCACAGGACGAAGGCATTTTCATCGTCCCTGTTGTACAGGCGGAGAAACCGAGCCTCAGGGAGTTGGGGTGATTTGCACAAGGTTGTTAAGCAAGAGGCCGGTCAAGCGGGGGACTCAAACCTCAGGTGTCGGGGCTTCTTGCTGGGGACCCAGGGCCATGACCACAGAGTGGGGCCAGAATTCATCTCAGATCGGCAGGAGTGGGGCTGGGGGCCAGGGGGCCAGCGAATGGCGGGGTCTGTCTAGGCCACCGTGCAGGCGGGCCTCTGGGGCCTGCGGGAGCTCCCTGGGCTCCCGGGACTGCTCACGGCCTGCGTGGTCCTCGCACTCCGACCTGCTTCACCCCCTCCTTCCTTTGCCGCAGGAGAGGAGAACCAGCCGGGCTGGCGATGTCCGGACGAGGACAAGAAGAGCAAAGCCCCGTTCTGGTGCCCGACGCTGGCCTGCTGCATCCCCGCCTTCTCCTCCCGGGGCCTCAGCCTGCAGGTGAGAGGCAGCTCTTCCTGAACCCCCCCTTCTCCGGGGAGCACCAGCGTTTCCAGGCTGTGCCCACAGCAGGCAGGCCCCGGCTCCAGACCCAGCGCCTCTGCTTTTTCCCGATGGAGTTGGTGGAGCCTTTTTATTGCTCTGGGAGCCAGCTGTCCTGCCCACAATGTGGGGGTAGATGCCCTCCGTGGGTCAAGTGAACGGAAAATTCCATTATTTTTGAGCTGACAAATAGCAGTGATCTCATCCGTCGATGGCCCGACTCCAGCCCAGAGCGGCCGGAATATGCCCGAGCGCCAGGCTTTGTGGGTTGGAGCCTTGGTGGGCTGGGGCCAGGCAGGAGCCGGCTTGGATGTGGGCGGGGCCTGAGGGATCCAAGACACACCTTTCCTAGCCATCACCCTTCCACTTGTCAAATACCTACTGTGCTCCCCACTGCTCTGCCGTCACTCTCTTGTTTTGTTATTTATGAGAACCCGGTAAATAGATGTTTCTAGATCTGTTTCACAGGGAAGGCCCCCCTGGGGCTCAGACAGATGCCTTTCTAAAAATGACACAGCTGGTAAGGATGGGTTCGGGAATGATAGCCTCGTTCTGTCTGATTCTGACACCTGTGATCTTTTTTTTTTTTTTTTTTTAATATATTTTTATTGATTTTTTTTTTTTTTATAGAGAGGAAGGGAGAAGGATAGAAAGTTAGAAACATTGATGAGAGAGAAACATCGATCGGCTGCCTCTTGTACACCCCCTACTGAGGATGTGCCCACAACCAAGGTACATGCCCTTGACCGAAATCAAACCTAGGACCATTCAGTCCGCAGGCCGACACTCTATCCACTGAACCAAACCGGTCAGGGCCAGACACCTGTGGTCTTCACCTCTGGTCATCTGTCCTTTGTCTGGAGCACCTGCTGCCCACCGCCCTCTCAGGGAGGTGAGGTCATCAGAGCTCTGGGGAGGGGAGAGCAAGCTTGGGACCCAGGCCCAGAATAAGTCCCAAGAGCTAAGTGGCTAGACTGTAGACTGGGGTGCTAAGTAGCTGAAAGAACATAGTCCTGAGATGTCATTTTATTCATTAGTCCATCCATGCATCCACCCACCCATCCATCCATCCATCCATCCAATCTACCTATCATTGTTGAACACCTACTGTGTGCTAGGCCCTGTCCTGGCCACTGGGAATCATAGTGATGATCAAAACATGCAACATACCTGCATATAGTGTTCAATCTAGAGATAGAGATAGGAAAAACCCTGGCAAACAAAGGGAAATAGAAGAGAGAGATGTGTGTGTTAAAGAAAATAAATCAGATATGCTAGACATAGAGATGGTGCCAACCGAGAGGGCCTCTCGGAAGAGGTGGCATTAAACTGTGACCTGGATGGCAAGAAGGATGCAACCGAGTGAGGGCCCAGGGAAGAATATTCCAAATCGCCAAACACAGAGTCCCGCCCAGGTGCCCGGGGGAAGGCAGCGAGGCTGCAGCCCAGGAGTCCAGAGGAAGGACTAGGCCATGAGTGTGAGTGTGCCTAGGCCTCCGGCTTGGTCTCTGGGTAGAATTCAACCATGAGGAGCCCTGCAGCGGAGCAAAACTGAAGTCCAATCTTGGTGACATGCTGTGCGACCTGGAACTAGTCATGTCCCCTCTCCCTTCCCCTTCCCCGAACTTCAAGGTTACTGACTCCTAAATGAGGGGCTGGGGAAGGTGACCTTTGGTCCCCTCGCCTATGGCCATTAGGCATTTTGTTAGTATATTCCCAGCAGCACCAGCAGAGGGCAGCACCTGCCTGGCAAAGGGTCCAGCAGTGGCCACATTCCTCAGAGGGGCAAAGTCACGCCCCTGAAAGGGCCAGACCATTGCAGTCCTGGCCAGAGGGCCAGACTGGCAGGATCTAGCTCGGGAAACAGGCCCCAGAGACCACCTGGCATGGATTTGAGGGAAGAAGTTGCAGGAGGAACAAGTTGCTGGTGGCTCTTGGTAACAGCCCGTTACAGAAAGAGCCCCCAGCCCCTGCTGGCAGCCCACACAAGCCACCCAGCCCTGTGTCCTGGGGGTTCGTCTGCAGAATGGTTCTGATGATCTGGGGGTCCCTCCACTGTTTCTCTGGAGGCGTGCAAGAAGGTGGAGGGGGGAGGTAGGCACAGGCCTTCCCTGTGGCCTAGGGCCATCCTGTGTGCTCATTGTCCCATCTGTAAAGTAAAGGAAGTGGAGTGAGTGGGTGTTAGTGGTTTTCAACAAACCTTACATGGGAGCTGGTCAGTTTGAAAAACCCTTGGGGGTCCCAGAGTATCGTCCAGGCGCCTTGCAGCCAAGGTTCTAGGAGAGTGATGGTCAAATGTGGGTGCATCGGAACTTCCTGGAGATCCTGTAAACCCCCCGCTTTCCTGGCCATCTGCAGAGATTCTCACTTGGGAATCTCCAGTTGTAAAGACCCCTGACCCCTGCAGGTGGTTCACACTAAGGTCCGACAGCCAGACGCTGGCCTCTCGGGCACCTCAACCCTTAACCCTGCACATGTCACCTCTGTCTCTGCAGCTCGGGGGTCTGGTCCACAGTCCTGTCAGCTCTCCCCTGCTGGGCTTCTCGGCAGTCAGCACCTCCCTTCCACAGGGCTACCTCTGGGTGAGTACCCCCTGCCGCAGCCAGGAGCTCTGGCCTTGTGACAGGAACAGGGAGAGGAGCACCTGGGAGGGGGTGCTGGGGAAAGCCACCCGCCTGCTGGTCCATCTACCCGGCAAGGTCTCCCTGGGATCCTGTCCTAGGCTCTGTGCTTGGATTTGGCAGGTGCCAGCCACCTCACCAGGGACAATAGAAAACCGGGACAAATAAGTGAAAATGACTCTTGCCCAGGCCACAGGCCGTGCAGGAAATGAGGGGAGCTGTGCCATGTGCCAGGATGGCAGGTCTTCACTGGAGTCAGGCAGCAGGGTGGCTTACTACCCATCTCTCTCAGACCCCAGCCCAGTTTTCTGCTCTTGGGACTCCTGACAAAGCTTTTCTGGATTCAAATAGGTGACCTCCCCCTGCTTTACAGTGCAGATTGTGCCTCCCATAGACGCTCCTCTGAGGGCAATTTGTTCTTCACTGTCTCTCTAGCACATGGTGTTTCCGTCCGTCCGTCCATCCATCCTTCCATCCATGTCTCCATCTATCCTTCTGTCTATCCATCTATATATCCATGCATCCATATATCCATTCATCCATTATCCACCCACCCATTTATCCATCCATCTATCCATCCACTCACCCACCCATCCATCCATTCATCCATCCATGTCTCCATCTATCCATCAGTCCATCCATATATCCATGCATCCACCCACCCACCCATTCATCCATGTATCCATTTATCCATCCATGTCTTCATCTATCCATCTGTCTATCCATCCATATATCCATGCATCCTTCCATCCATTATCCATCCATCCATCCATCCATCCCTCAATCCACTCAGCAAGTATACTGGTATACCATGCGTGAGACACTAAAGTAAAACAGAGAACAGGCAGATAGGATATTTTAAAGGGGCAGAGTGTATGCTCCCTCTTTGTTGGTTGAAATTTAGCCTAAAGAGAAGGAGATAGAAAGCTGACTTGGTATCTATTATAGTCCACCTTAGCTCCTTAGCTGGTTTCCTTTGCGCCCTGAATCTAACTTGCTGCCTTGGAGGCTGGGGACAAGTGACCTTCAGTGACCGCAGGATGCATGTGGGCAGGCGGGCGGTGCTCCCTTCACTTCTCAGTGGCAGGTAGCAGTGTGGGACAGGTCTCGGAGGGCAGGAGCTAAGCTCTGCCTCTGCTCTCATGGTTCTTCCTGACAGCTTCTTTGGGTCTCTGCCCCAGGTTGGGGGTGGCCAGGAGGGCGCAGGAGGCCAGGTGGAGATCTTTTCCCTGAACCGGCCCTCACCCCGCACGGTCAAGTCCTTCCCGCTGACGGCCCCTGTGCTCTGCATGGAGTACATTCCTGAGCCAGAGGAGGGGGAGAGTGGAGATGGAGACAAAGATGAGAGCCACACGGCTGCTGACCCCTCTGCTGCTGTGCATCCGACCATCTGCCTGGGGCTCCAGGATGGCAGGTGAGGGCCCGGGGAGGAGGGGCCTGAGAACAGCCAGGCAGGACTGGGCGGAGCGTGGAGGCTGTCTTGGGGTCCATCGGGTAGACGTGGCTTGGCTGGATTCACACTCAGGTCTGCACCTTGTGAATCCTCACATGAGTATATTTTCTTCCCATTGATTTTTAGAGGGAGTGGAAGGGAGGGAGGAGGGAAGAGAGAGAGAGAAACATGGATGTGAGAGTGACACATCAATCGGTTGCCTCCTGCACACACCCTGACCTGGGCCAGGATGAGACCTGCAACCCAGGTACATGCCCTTGACTGGGAATCAAACTCGGACCTTTTGGTTCGAGGGCTGATGTTCTAACCATTGAGCAAAAGCGGCCAGGGATCAGCACCTTTATTGTGTTGCTTCTGGAGGGTCTCCCCCGCCCCCCAGTCTTCCACAAGAGAGAGGCCGGGGAGGACACCATCCTCAAAAGGCCACCTGTGGGAAGTCTGAGCTCCCCTTTGGTGGAACGAAGGCCTGGCCCCACAGAGGGGGCCCTGGAGGGCATATGGGGGGCTGAGGGAGTCACGCGGGCCTCTCCCCACAGCATCCTGGTCTACAGCAGCGTGGACACGGGCACCCAGTGCCTGGCGACCTGCAGGAGCCCAGGCCTGCAGCCCGTGCTCTGCCTGCGACACAGCCCCTTCCACCTGTGTGCCGGCCTGCAGGACGGGACCCTGGCCGCCTACCCTCGGACCAGCGGTGAGGAAGTGGGGGCTGGGAACCGGGCCCTGTGCCCGATGGTTGTGGGAGGCCGGCCAAGGTGGCAGCTCAGAAACAAACCAGGCCATCTCAGAGGGGGAGGAGGGATTGGAGATCCCTGATCCCCATCGGGGTCCCCACAGGAACGGGGTGCTCACTCCTGCACAGGTAGCCCCCCCCCCCATTGGAGGCAGGCTCTAGTGGCTAAGAGCTGGGATTCTGGGCTCGCACAGACCTGGCTTCCAGGCCAGGCTCTGCCCTGATGCCAGCTGTGCCCGTTGGTGAGCCGCTCCTCCTCCTCACACCTGTCTCCTCGTCTCTAAATCGGCAATAATGGCAAAACCCACTTCTTGCGGGTACTGGCGGGTCAGACAACCCAGTGAAGGCCAAGCACAGGGCTTGGCACGGGGCTGCCAGTGGAGGCCAGCGGTTGAGTCTCTGGGATTCCATCCAGCCGTTGACAGCGGCGATTAAGGCGCTGGTAGGTAGGGCTAACGGTGTGAGCAGCTGTGTTCCAGAAACACGGTGAAGTGCTTGATGTTTGCCATTATCTTAATTGTCTCTGAGGCCCTTGAGAACCGCCTCCCCTGTGCAGCAGACCCAGGGCTGAGGCTGGGAGGGGACGCACTGGGGCACAGCCACACGGCGCTGTGGTCCCCGGTCCCCTGTGGCTCATTCAGCTCCTACCTGGAGGATGACAAGAGTCGAGGGTTGGGGGTGGCGAGAGGGTAGCTGCCCCGGGGCCCCCAAGGGGGCTGATGGGTCCCCTGGCCGCCCAGCCCTCCCTTTCGCTCCCTCCCGCTCCCCTCTTACTGCTGCGTCATCACAGCCTGTTGCAGGGTTATAAACGGATATTTGTACTGAGCTAATTTTTTTTTTTTTTTTTTTTTGCCACTTGGCACTGTGTTGGTATTTTTAATTAGCTTTTGATAAGGCATTTATAGTTTTTAATTAAAGGGGGAAGAGGGAGGGGAAAAATTCTTCTTACCATCAGAGTGTGGCTGTGAATGCAAATATGGGCGCAGGTCTCCGGGAGAGGCCAGGGGTTCTGGAGCGGCTCCACCCGCTGGCCCCACCCCGGCCCCCTGGTCCCAGTTTGAGCTCTTCCCTCCCGGGTTCCTGACCCATCCGCCTGGGCGCCCAGGTTGGGAGGAGGGAAGGGGGTGGCGTACGAGTTTGCTCATATACCCCACAAACCGAGGGGTTTAAACGCTGTGAACTCGCTGGCTCCTGGTTCTGGAAGTCCAGGCTCAGGGTGTTGTCAGAGCTGCGCTGCCCAGGAAGATGCCAAAGAAGGATCTGTCCCAGGCCCGACCCCAGCCGCGGCGGCTTGTCTCCCTTCCGCACACGAGGCTCTCTCTCCTGGGTGCGTGTCTGTGTCCACGCTTTGCTCTTTTGTGACAACACCCCTCACCTGGGATCAGGGCCTCCCTCCTCCAGGGTGACCACATTCTAACGAATTATATCTGCAACAGCCCCATCTCCACATAAGGTCACAGGCTGACGTGCTGGCAGCTAGACCTATTTTTGGGGACACAATTCAACTCAGAGGAGGTTTTGGATCTAACCACTGGCCTCGGCCTGGGGTTGGGACTGGTTGTTTGTCAGAGCCAGAAGGGCCATTAGGCACCATTGAGCTCCACTCCTTCACTCCCTAGAGTCTCGGGGTGAGCTAAGACCTGTACCCAAATGTCCTCTGTCCGGGACTCAAGCCCTCCCCAGACACAGAGGCATGACTTCTCGGAGCCGAGCTGGCAGCCTTCGGGCCTGGAGGAGAAGGTTGAGGTACCTTTCCCCCTTGCAATATTTGTGCGCCAGATACTTATTGAGCACCTACTGTGCACCATGGACATGGCGGCCAGCAAAGCAGGTGTGACCCTGCCCTCACGGGGTTTGTAGAGGGAGACAGAATTAGTTCAGTGAACAAGCAGGGAGCTTACACTTACCTTCGCCTCTCACCTGGGCTGCCTGTGGCTGGGACTGGGACCATCCATCTTATCCATGACTGAGCTGTGGGACTTCCTCCAGACTCACCAAGGCCTTGGATACCCCTCAGACACCCCTACTCCATCCCAGTCCAAGTCTGAGCACAGAGCTGGAGCCCTGTGCCTGCAGAACCCACCGCTGGCGCCCCCTGGTGGCCTGGAGGGTCAAGGGTTGTGAATGATCCACTCCAGCTGGTGGTATAGGATGAGAGGTTACCGTCCTGCCTGGGTTTGGCTGAGACCGCGACTGGATAAAACTGGCATTCCTGGCCCACGCTTTGTCTCCTTGCAAGAGGGCAGGGCGAGAAATATCAGCCTGGGATTTGGTAGAGTCCTAGAGGGCCAGCAGCTGAGAAGGGACTGAGGAACCCAAGGCCGTCTGGTCACTGACTGGACTGTCGGAGCCGGACAGGCCTCAGAGTTCAACCTCCAGCTGACAGATGGGAAACAGGTCCAGAGCAGTGTGGCCCTGGAAGTCATTCATTCATCTGTTCGTTTAATCATGCACTCAGGGAATATGTGTTCAGTGCTCTGAGCAGGCCCTGAGCACTGAGCAGGCCCAGGAGCATGCCCAGGCCTGGGGGCAGGTGTGGGGAAGTTCCTGGTTAGATGCTGGGGATGTGGGCCAGCGCCTCCTCCTGCAGGAGGGGCGAGGGGACAGGCTGGGCAGTAAGGCTGCCTGGGGTTGAGAGCCAGCTGTGAGACCACCTGTTACTTCATCTGTTGAGCCTTAGTTTCCTCACCTGTAAAATGGGGACAGAGACTGCCCCACCGCGCAGGCTGGCTGTGAAGGCCAGGTGGGATCAGCCACACAAGTGCACTGGTTGGAGCCTGCAGGATAGCCTGGTGCTTGTTACATCCATCTAAATGGTTGTCACCGCCCTCAGTACTGACCAGGCGCGGGGTACCCTGGGTTCCCCCTCAGTCTCAGTGACTTTTACTCAGTGTCCTGCCTTCGGCTCCAGCTGGATCTGGATCTCCAAGGTCCTTCATTCCCCTTCGCCTGGCAGCATGAGAGCTGGTGAGGGCCCAGACGAATGGGCTGTCACGCAGGGTGTGTGTGTGTGTGTGTGTGTGTGTGTGTGTGTATGAGTACACTGTGGGTTCTGTAACATGTATGTGTGCACCTAAAGCCTGGAGGGCAAGGGTGGACCCCCTACCTCCACTGCCCCTCTCCCCCCCCACTGCAGGCTCCAGGGGGCTTACCCTGCACAGAGCTCACAGGGATTGCATTAAAAATCTTAGAGCTGTGGCCGTGAGGGCTGGGAAGGTCAGAGTTCTGTCCCTCAGGTGCAGATGGGAGAGCTGAGCCCCAGCAAGGATGGCCTCTGGCTCAGGGTTCCTCTGTGGGGACTCCTGTCCAGGGTCCTTTCGATATGACAATACAGGTATTCATATTTTTACCATTCTGTCCTGAGTCAGGACATCTTAGAGGTTCCTGCAGAAGCCCAGGAAGTGGAGGTCTGGTCAGTGCCTCTGTGACCCTCAGGGGTAGCAGACTCTAGCTCTGACCTCAGGCAGCCCCGGCCACGCTGTTCCTTGCAGGCTAGAGGTTGCAAGGGTTTGGTATCCACCGAGGAGAGCCCCATTTCCTAGTTTTCGGGGTGTGGTCACAGTATTCTCAACTGCTTACCGGGAGGGAGGTCGCAGTGGAGGGAGCTCCAGATTCTGGCTATAAGCATTATTACCTGTGGCCACTGGGGGGCGCTCAAAGCCTTGCATTTTGTGGCTCTGGTGTTCTGGTCGGGCTCAGTGTGCCTGGCTGCCTGTGGTCACTCGCTTCTCCTTGACCCCAGATACGGCCCCAGTGCCCCAGTGTCCTTGGTACCTGAGAGGGCGGGGGGGGGGGGGTTAGTAGAGGGGGAGGTCAGAGTCAGCTGACTTTCCGTCCTGCCTGGCCCGTCCCCCCCTGGGTGGCTTCGGGCAAGTTCTCAGCCGCCTGGTCTCATTGTCACATTTGTCAAATGGAGCCAACACCTGTTTCCACAGACTGTTGTGTGGTGGCAAACGACACCAAACAGTATGGGCTAACGAGCGCCCGGGACTCTCGAGCTGTGTGAACCCGGCTGGCTATTTAAGCTCCGTGTCTCCGCTTCCCCAGCTGTAAAGCGGGGATGGAAATAGAATGCGCAGGCCGGGAGATAGGGAAACAATTCGTGAACACAGAGCCTGGTGTGCAGACACGTAATGGCACGGCGCAGCAGCTGTGGTGGCTCCCTGCTGGGTGCCAACCCTGAGCTGAATGCTCTGTGCGTTCTCTTTAGTCTCTGCGGCATCGGCGAGGTGTAGGCATGGCCATCACGCCCATTTGGCGGATGAGGAAACTGAGGCTCAGAGAGGTGAAGTCACCTGTCCTAGTTCATGCAGAAGTTCAGAGGTCACAGCCAGGGTTCTGGCCCTGCCTGCTTCCCATGTGCTCACATGCAGGGGCTGGAAAGACCCGGTAGTGTGTTGGAGGGAGGGGTCCCTATTCCCCAGCTCCCAGGTGGTCTGGGGGTCTGACAGGTTTAAGGAGGACAGAAGGGAGAGGGGCAAGCCTGCTTTCCAGGTGGGGTAAAGTCTGGGGGGGGGTGGTAGTCTGTCCTCCAAGGGCTCTTCCTGCCGCCCTGCAGACAGTGGCTCCCACCATGTACCCTGGTGCCCCTCCAGCTCCACTGACAGCTGTGCCCCACCCTGTCACCAGCAGCTGGCTCGGAGGGAGGGTCTATGAAGGGGCTGCTGGCAGGGTCCCATAGAGGGAATGTGGGTGCCTGAGCACTGGCAAGCCAGCAGCACGCTCCGTCCTGCCTCTCAGGCCCAGCTGCTGTCAGTCTGTCTTTCCGGGGTCACTCTCTCGTCCCATTCTGCCCCTCTTTCCCACCTGCACCCTGACAAGACAGGACAGCCACTGGGGTTCTGTGTGACGTAAGAGAAAAGCCCAGCTTAGCCAGCACGGCTTGCATGCCAGGGAAAATTCTTGGCCTGTTCTTGGGTGAGTGAGCATCCCTGGGTGGGCAGGGAAGCCTTGCTCAGGGACAGGCCAGCTCCCTCGGTTGGTCCCGTCTGCAGGGGTGGTGGCCGGGGCACTGGTTTCTTCTTGGGACTTTCTCCTTCCACACCTGGGGCCGTAGCATCCTGGGAGGAGAAGGGTCACCATAGATTTGGTTAAGGTGGTAGAGAGCCTTATTAGGCGAACAGATCAGCGAGAAGGCAGGTATGTGTGGGATGAATGACAGGAGAGAGAGGGAAAGAGAGGAAGAGGAGGAGGGAGTCCAGCCCCCATGGGATAGACCATAAATGCAGGCAGCTGGAACAGCCACCATTCCTCATAGGACCAGGTGAGATGGTTTGTGGGTCCAGGCTGGGCCCCCTCTGCAGGCTGCGGCTCCCCCAGGCTGAGGAGCCCTGAGTCTTGACCCGCGTCTTCTTCTCCTCCCAGGAGATGTGCCCTGGGACCTGGAGAGCCCGCCCGTGTGCCTGACAGTGGGGTCAGGGCCCATCCGCACGCTGCTGAGCCTGGAGGATGCCGTGTGGGCCAGCTGTGGGCCTCGGGTCACCGTCCTGGATGCCACCAGCCTGCAGACTCAGGTACTGGCCTTCCCCACGGGGCCATCAGCTGGGCACGCCCTTGCTGACCCTTCTGACCTTCTCAGCTCCTGTCTGTGTGTTAGGGATCGGTTTGTCAGAAAGCAGAGGGGACCTACAATCCCTGATGGGCCCTGCCTTCTGCCCCCACATGCATCCCCAGGGCTGCCATGAGGGGAAGGGTCCCAGCGATGCGGGGCCGTGACCTGCATCTTGAGTTGTGGTTCTTGCTGCCAGGGGAGGTTCCTGTTGTCGCTCTGGTGCCCGGGACCCAGCTGTGCTGAGGGGTCATCCAGTGTGGGCACGGCCAGAGACAGAATGGGAACTGAGAGGTGTTTCTATAGAAGGATCTTCCAGCGAAGGGTCCAGTGGAAGCCACAGGCCAGAGGGGGCAGAGAAACTGGCTGTGGGTTGTTGGGGCGGGGTTTGGGCTGCAGGGCCTGAGGATCTGGGGAAAGCTGGCACCCCTCGGCCCCTCCCAGGGCCACATGGCTTTTTGGAGGGGGTGGAAGTGGGAGGCACCCATCCCTGTCCTGGCTGTGCCCCACGCGGGCCTGCTGGGCGGCCCTCCCTGGAGGGGTGCGGTTGGCCAGCAGCTGCTTCAGATGGGACCCTGGCTCTGCCCTGCCAGGGTGTCAGCCCTTGGACAAGGCACCGAGCCTTCCTGGGCCTCAGTCACTTCATCTGTAAAATGGGGTGATGGTGCAGAGCGACCTAAGGAGTGAGTGAGGATGTTTATGTAGAAGGACTGTTTCACACACACAGTGCCTGATGCAGAGTAAGTGTCCCATGGACACTAGTTATCACTGTGCCTGTTTGCTTAACTGAAATCCTCATCGCCACAGCGCGTGGCTTATGTGGAAAATCACGCTGCTTCCCGAGAGTCCATGTTGGTGGGCGTGTGTCCATATTGTATCTTTATTTATTTATTTATTTAATTTTATTTTAAAATATATTTTATTGATTTTTTTTTGCCCCCTCCCTCCTACACATCCCCTCCCTCCCCAGAGTTTTATGTCCATTGGTTGTACTTATATGCATCGTGTGTCCGTATTGCATTGCAAGTCCGCCATCCTCTCCCTTCTCTGCCAGGAATGCTTCCTCCTGCTGACAGCTGCCTAGGGGCAGAGGCAGATAGACCAAGGGAAGCACAGGGGCCTGGGCCGGGCCGGGCCCTGCCCAGCTCTTGTCCCATTCTGCCCTTCACCAGTTACGGTACTGTTCTGCCCAGGCCCAGCACCTCAGCTCTGGCCCCGCCGTCCCTGTCGCCAGGCGGCCACCAGGCTGCAACTCAAGGCCGGGTGATTTAAGATGAGCTCCGGGTTTTTAACCTGGTTTGCACACCTCGCAGGGTGTCGGAAAGCGCTGGCTGGGGGAGGCGGGTGGAGGGGAGGGTCGGGGGAGGCTTCCCAGTGGGGCCGGCGGGAGCACGCGCCCGGTCTGCAGCCAGGGAAATGGCGAAGTTTGTGTGGGCAGCTCGCTTCCCGCACGCACGGTCCTCGGGCACGGGAGCAAGGTGATGGCCGTGCATGTGTAATGCAGCCATGCTCGCTGCCGCCTGCGATACAGAGGGAGCCTCCCGCCCTAGCGCCCAGCTCGGAAACAGCTTGGCCTGGAGCTGCTGATGGCCTCCCCGTCTGCATGGCTGCTCCACGGGGGCCTCCCTGTTCATCTCGTCTCATCTTGGTGCCTCGCACAGCCGGCCAGGCTGGGAGGAGGGGGCTGGAGTGGTGCTGCTGTCTGGGCTGCCGTGGCCTCGTGTGAGTGCCCAGGGCTCAGCACATGCAGGAAGGAAAGGGTCGTGTGTGAGCTTTGCAGCCAAATGCCTCACTTCAGAGGGAGGGCACTGCTTACCAATTTCACCCCCACACCCCACCTTGCCCTCCGGGTCCAGAAACCTGCATTTAATGCTGCTCGGGGCTCCATGCCTGCAGGAGTGTATTGTTGACCGAGGCTGTGGCTCTGGCCCACATTCCTACCTGTAAGGGGGTCACCTAGGAAGTGTGTTCGCTCTAAGGAGTTCTCCTGGGTTCCTCTCATCCCCAGGAGGCAATAGCAACCAGCACATACTGAGTCCTTCACATGGACCGTTTAGGGGTTTCAGTGCTTTGCATGAATTAGCTTATTTCATCACCAAATCACTGAGATTAGTACTCTCATTACTCCCATGTTACAGATGAGGAAACAGAGGCACAGAGAGGTTAAGTGGCTTGCCCAAGGTCACAGCTAGAGGGAGGCTGCTCTTACCCTTTGTGCTGGCCGCCCTGGAAGGCTAAGGCTCCGCCCCCTTTGGGCCGCCCTGTCCCCTGCAGCTTCTGTCCCATCGTACGTGACCTCCCAGGAGCTCTCATTGGTTCACACACCTGCTTTTCCCACCAACACGTCTTCCGGGCCCAGGATTGCTCACATGGCAGGTGCACCAGGAAGGGTCGTGGAAAACAGGCAGGTGGTCCCCTTCCTGTGTGGGCAGGCCCCAGGGGGGCTTGTGGGAGCGTGCCGTGACGCCATGACCATTCCTTCTGGGTGGAAGGTGGGTAATCGGCGGGAGGAGGCTCAGGGTGCCGGCCGGTGGGAGAAGTGTCCTGGGAGGAAGTGTGCCTTCCTGGGAGCGGGACAGAGGCCACACCTGGAGACGGCGGAAGGAACTTGGTAAAGGGCTGGGCAGAGGGTCTTGTTCTCAGGGTCCTGCTCCGGGGCAGGTGGGACATATGTGGGTGGGACAGCCGGTCACCCAGAGGTCTCTCCTCTGACCTGCCAGCCCTGGGAGGCGTCCGTGGCAGTGCCTTTCCCAGAGCCTCTCCGGGGCTCCCGGTGCTGCCTGGGAAGGGCCAGAACTCAGGCAAGTGGTGCCGTGTTTGGGGACCCGGCCTGGCTCCCGCCCACAGGGTTGTTTGTGAGGGTTAATAGGGGCAGCCTCTCCCATAAGACCCGGTTCCTCACCCTCGAGAAGCCTGTACAGACCCCCATCTCCCCTTCACATAACCCCACTCTCCCTCCCTCTGCAGGACGTGCCTGGCGTATCGTAGGTGCTCACTGAGGGGCTGTGAAGGACAGAGGGCTTTGACCTTAGGGAAGTGGGCTCTGTCTGGGGGGTGGGTGGGAGGGGAGCTGGAGGAATGGGTGGAGGTTCGCTAAGTGGAAGGGAGATGTGGGCAGAGCAGTTGATTTTAACTGGGCTGCGGGGAGACATGCCTCCCATTGGCACCCGGGCACCGGTGCCTGCTGTCCCTGAGCACATCAGATGAGAAACTCCTCCGGGTTCCGGGGCACTAACGGCCCTCAGACTGCCCCCTGCCCACCCCCACGTCCACGCCTTCCCCACCCTTAATTTTCATGTTTAGTGCCCAAACTTAGTTTGCATGTATTAGCTGTTGTAAATCTATCATAACAGAGAGGTGCAGCATGAATAATGCATCACGGGGCTGTATTAGTTTTCTGTCTCCTATCTTATTTATGACACGAAACGGGTGGGAATTTGCAAAAGCGAAATCCTGGCGCAGGGCTTCTTGGGTAATGGTATGCAAATTGACGTGAGGGCGGAAAGATCCACTAACTAAGTCCTTGGTGCTGGCCCCGCCTTCGGGCCGGCAGAGCCTGCGGGTTGGGGTCACCTCCCTCCTGGGAGTCATCCAGTTCAGCAGTTCTGCCTTAATGTTCTTTCTTTTTTGGTGTGTGTCTCGTTGTTATTGCTGTCATCCTGTTCTTTTCTTTTTTTTCCAAATTACAAGTTGGCAGGTTAGACTTGAGAAATCGATTTTTCTAAAGGTTGCGGAGACTTCCCTGGAGGCTCCGACAGTAACGAGTTCCAGGAGGGTGAGTGGCTGCCAGCAGCATGAAGAATGGAGGTTAGATGCTCAGAGGAACTTCCTTTCAGGGTGCTTGTGAAGGACAGGGTGTGGGGGTGGGTTTGGGGGTCCTGGGAGCTCAGGACTGTGGTTGCCGACTCAGCTCCTGGGCATGGGTGTCTCAGGGCCGTCCTGAGGGGCTGGGGGTGGCTAAGTGCAGGCCCCAGACCCCTTCTCTCCTTGTCCGGAAGAGCTCAGGTCTTATACCCAATATTAGGCCCCCAGCCCCCAGTCCCCGAAGATGTATGCTGATGTAAGGATTTCGTGGTTTGAAGCTGTTGGCTCAGGAACAAGTCCCGTGAAGCCAGAGGAGAAAAGGGAGAGAGCAGGGGAAGGCTGGTGGTGGGGACATTGTGCAGAGAATGGCCGGGGGAGGGGTGTTGTGGGGGTGGGGAGGGGGGCAGCGGCTGGAGTTGAGTGTGGGGCAGACGATGGCAGCAGGTGTCAGTCCTCTTCCTTCTTGGCCCCCTGGCTGTCAGGGACTGTCTGTCCTTCTCTCCACGTGGCTCCTCCCCGTCCGCCCACCTCTGCACGGTCAAGCTTCCTCCGAGCACTGCTGCAGGAGTCGGAGAGGACAGACCCCAAGCGAACAGCCGCCCAGCCCCCTGGCATTGGCAGGGACACACAAGGCCAGGCACAGACCCACTGGGTGCTGGGCCCTGGGCTGGGCCCTCGTATGTGTGTTTTCTCAGCGGGGGGAAGTTTGTAAGAACAAGGCAGACAAAGAAGGGACGGCGCCTGCCCAGTGCGCAGCTGGAGAGAGACCTCCGGCTGACGGGGTGACGCCACACCGCTGGTTCTGGAAGCTTCCGTGTCCCGCCCGTTAGATGAGGATGGGCTGGTGGTGTGGGTGTCAGGTGGAAGCGGAGTTGCTGAGCTTCTGTGGCTGGTCTCCGGGCCCTGGATGGTGCCTCCTAGGCCAGCAGGGGTGGTGAGCCCCTTCGCACTACACCCGGCCAGGGTTCCGGGCCTGAGGGTGCTGGGGAGATCACGGAGCGTGGGTCCATGCTTAGCTCCGCCCCAGCCTGTGGGTCACCCGGCTCATCCTGTCCCCTTCCTGGGCGCGTCCCTCTCCTGTCATAAGGGTCTCTGTGAGGACGGTCCGCTGCAGCCTGGGAAGAGCCTGGCGCATGGAGGGAGGCCAACAAGCAGAGCTGCCTTTGCCCCAGCAGCTCCTGCCCCGGAGAGCCCCAGCCTTCCTTCCCTTGGCATCCTCTGCGCGCGAATGACTCTGAATTCTGAGCCACTCACTGGGAATTTCTAGAAACCAAGCACAGAGCATTACCTGGAGGCACATAAATATTGCACGACCGGAGGCCGGGCTGTGTCAGCACTATTTGGGCCATTTCACTCACCGAAGCCTCTGTGCAGTGCCTGTGGGGGCTGCCCTGAGGCTGCAGGGACAGGGAAGCGGACAGGGCGCCGTGAGCGGGTGCAGGACACCTGGTTTCTTCCCGTCTCCCCGACCGGCTCCTGACTGCAGCCAGCGTGCTCGGAGCACCTCCCAGCACCATGGACAGAGAGAGGGGACCCCCCCTGCCCTGGCCAGGGATGAGCTGGGAGCCCTGGGAGCCAGTGGCAGGCCCAGGCCTCCCCTCCGGCGGCCAGCTTTTAACCTTCTTTAAATAACTACCTCTCTTCACTCAACTTTTTATTCTAAAAAATTACAACTACCAGAAAGTTGAAAGAATAGTACAGTGAGAACACATGTGTTCTTCACCTTGTAAGCCAGCTAACATTTTGACAGGCGGGGATACTCACCACTATACTAACAAAGACGGGCACTCCAGCTAACATTTTGTCACAGTTCCTTACACCGCCAAATTATGCATATTATATACAGCCCCCCCCCCCCCCCGCTTTTGGGATAAACCATTTAAAAGTGAGTTGTAGGCATCATTACCCAGCACATGCAAATACTTCAGCATGGCTCCCCTGTGACTTCAGCAGCATTTATCATACCCAGAAACCTGACATCAACGTACAGTAGGTCCTCGGGTTACGTCGGAGATCCGTTCCTAGGGTGCCACGTAATGTGATGTTTGCCATAAGTTGGAACCCACTTACATAAGCGCCCACATCACGTGGACCATACATACAGCAGTAATGAAGTGAAACAGTAAAAAAACAAACAAAAAAATTAAAAGGAAAATAACAATTCCTGACCTTTTTGCTTGTGGTAAATAATTAATAAAAAACATAAAACACATAGGTACATACGTTGAAATGATGGAACTTTTTTTTTTCTTTTTAATAAATAAGTGGGAGTTGGCCACATAACCACAAAACGACGTACTTCAAGTCCAACGTAACCTGAGGACGGCCTGAGCGGTAGTCCTTCCTAGCTCCTCCCCAGCCCCGCCCAGGATCCAGCAAGGGCTGCATGTTGCATTTGGTTGTCATGTCTCTTTAGTCTCCCTTTGATCAGGAATAATCCCTTTCTGAGCGCACGTGTTTATGTTTGTGTGTGTGTGTGTGTGTCCATGATATGGACTTTTTTGAGATCTAAGCCAGTGTCTTCTAAAAAGTCCCATAATCTGGAATTGCCCAGTTGTTTCCTCGTGATGAGATTTGAGTGGCCAGATGCTTGGCCAGATGTGACTTCGTGTCACATCACCCAAGGAGGCGGGACATACAGGCCGGCCCCCTTCTTGATCCAGATGGGTTCGCCAGGCCTCCCCATCATAACGGTACCAGATTCCCATTGTCATGTAAGGTCACCCACAGGTGATTCTTGGAGAAGTTGTGCATATACTGTTCCTCAGCAGCCCCTCCCCTTTAATTATCGTTACCAGTTCTGTAGGGTCATTTCAAAGCCCCCACTCCTGGGCCCCCAATACCACTAGGGGTCAGAGGAGGCATCTAGAGGTGAGAAATGGGAGCCATGACCTGAGTTGGGGTGCCAGGTGGGCCTGGTGGGGAGGAAAGGAGAGGCCCCCCCTTGAATGGAGATGCGCCCCTGCCCTTGGTGCACTTCCTGTCTGAGGGGTGAGCTGCAGAACCCTGCCTCCCGAGAGCACCCATTTCCCCCAGCCAGGACGCAGAGCTCGCCATCAGGGACTGGCTCAGAAAAAGCAATTTCGCTGGCCATCTCCCAGTCTTGCCCTTCTGGGTCCTGCACTTGGATCAGGAATGAGATCGGGAACGAGCTTTGAGTTGATTGCCTCGGTTCCCTGTGGAGGACCCCGGAGCACCCCCCCCCCCCCCCAGCTTCTTTGTCTCCATGGGAAACCTTGGTGATTTGAGACGGGACGGAGTTGGGCTGAGGCTCTGGCTAGAGTGACTCTGCAGCAAAACAAGCCGAGTCTGTTACTGCCGCTTCCTGTTCACCAAGCTCACGCGAGGCCCGGGATTCCAGGCTCCTGCCACACACGGCTGATGGACTGAGCCCCTTCCCAAGGAGAACCCGGTCATGTCACTTACCGGCTCAGCCCCCTTCAGCACTTTCATTCAACCTCTTCACTGTGGATTTTTAAAATATATATATTTTATTGATTTTTTTTTTTTTTTTTAACAGAGAATAAGAGAGGGATAGAGAGTTAGAAACATCGATGAGAGAGAAACATCAATCAGCTGCCTCCTGCACACCCCCTGCTGGGGATGTGCCCCAAACCAAGATACATGCCCTTGACTGGAATTGAACCTGGGACCCTTCAGTCCTCAGGCCGACGCTCTATCCACTGAGCCAAACCGGTTAGGGCTTCACTGTGGATGTTAAGGTGGCCCTGCCCACCTCTCCCACCTCTGTCTTAGCACTGTGCTCCCCACACTGGCCATCTTCCTGTTTCTCAAACACGGCAAGCTCATTCCTGCCCCAGGGCCTTTGCACCTCCTGTGCCCTCAGCATGGAATGCTCTCCCCGCCCTCACCCCATTATCCCAGGGCTGATGCCTTCACATTTGTAATGTCCCTGATTAAATGCCTCCTAGAGAGACCTTCCCTGGCCACCCAACCTTAACGGCTCCCTACCTTTTTTTCTGTGCAGTGGCTTTAATTACTTGGAGTCATTGTTACCTGTCTATTTGTTTCACGGGTCTCTGCACTGGGAACACACACTTCATGGGAGCTCTTTGGTCATCCCATTCATCGTCACCTCCCCAGCCCAAGCACATAGTAGGAGCTCAAGAACATCTGCTGAACGAATGAGACCGTATTAGGAACTCCCCCTCACCCAGGTCCCTGTAATCCTCATGACAACTTCCTCTTACAGATGGGAAACTGAGGCCCAGGCCTGGGAACTTACTGAGGAAGGGAGCTCTCACAGTAGGTCTGATAGCAAATACATGTTCCATCCAACATCTTCCTGAAGTCTTGGGCTTCTGTGCTCCTCACAGAGGAAGTGGAAAGGAGGAAGCTCACCGGGCCCTGCCCCAGACTAGCCCTCCGGGGTCAGGTTTCTCCTCCCCCGCACTTCTTCCTCCCTCATTGTTTCTGCACGTACTGCTCTGCCATTCACACTCTCCTATGCTCTTTACACGGTCTCTGTAAAACGTTTTGAATGGGTGTGGAACAGTCCTCCGAGTGGGTACATCAGAGTTCCCTGACTGTCCCATTGATTGGGCACTTAGGTTGTTTCCGGTCCGCTGTGCTGGAGTTGTCTGCCTTTGAGCAACATCTGGATGTTGTAGGTGAGGCTCAAGGATTCGTCTGTTCACTCTGTGACCACATTTTACTGTGTGCTGGTCCCTGTGCTGAGCAGGGGTTCCTTATGGGCCTGAGGCTCAGTGCCCACTGTTGGAGATCATAGTCCGGGGTGGAAGGTGCTGAGCAGACACAGGGCAGTGTAGGTGACACAGGGCGGCGTAGGTGTCACGGGGCTGGATGTCACGGGGCCGGACAGTGGAGAACCACATGCAGAAGGTGGTCTGGTGCAAGGGCGGTCGGGGTACCTCATGGAAGTGGGGCATCATCCCGAGGGGGAGTCTTCAGGTGCTGAAAGGCTGTTGCTAGGAGGGCACTGGGTGGTGCACACAGCACATGGGTCACCGTGAGGGCGGAGGCCTGGCAGCATGGTTCCTCCTGAGTCTCAGCGTCCTTCCCACACAGGCTCGGGTGGGCCTGGCGTGGAGGGAGCCTGCCAGGGCAGAGCTGAGGCAGAGGCAGGCAGAGTGCAATGGATGGGAATCCTGACTGTCCTCTCTCTCTCTTAAAAAATCAGTTTTCTTTAAAAGACCAAAATTATACACACACCTATTAAAAAAAAAAAAATCAAATAGCATAGAATGGTTCATCCCCAGCCCTCTTCCTGGGAGGAAATGCTTGCCACCTGTTTCTGTTTTTAACTCAGCTGGCATGACTGGACCTTGTCTGCCTTGCTGGTTCCTGGCTTATCAGTTTTGGACATTCTGTGTTGCCTCCCCGCTGTGAAAGGTGAGGATTTGGCTCACAGCACCCACCCCTTTTCCCAGCCGTTGTGTTGGTTGCCTTTGCAACTTCAGACACTATGTCAGCGGCTGCTTCCTTCCACTGCCTTTAGTTCTTTCTCTCCTGTCACAGTGGCAAGCTGGAGCCGGGTCCTGTCCACTCCTAAGAGCCTGGTGTGTGTGACTTCCTCCCTGCTCCTTGTTTAGTGATGTCGTGTGGGTAGCTTGAGATTGGCCCTGTGGGAAGTATTTACACCATGGGAATTGGCAGACACGACACACCCAGGGTACCTCTGCCTGTGAAACAATTACCAACACGCCACTGCTGGGCTCCTGGGGTTTCCTTCTGGCCTCTGCTGGTTCAGGCAGAGGCCAGAGTAGCGTGGCCCCCCAGGTGTCGGGCTGCCCAGCACCAACACCCCCACTCTGTCCGCAGCAAAGCTTCGAGGCGCACCAGGATGAGGCCGTGAGCGTGACGCACATGGTGAAGGCGGGCAGCGGTGTCTGGATGGCCTTCTCCTCCGGCTCCTCCATCCGCCTCTTCCACACGGAGACGCTGGAGCACCTGCAGGAGATCAACATCGCCACCAGGACCACCTTCCTCCTGCCAGGTGAGGTTGCGGGGCCTCGGCCCGGGCCTGTGGATGGAGGGCGCTGACACTGGCAGCCTGCAGAGGTGCATCCTGCCCGGCCCATCTCATTAACCTTGTGGGAGCCTGGGGTCAGCCTGGGTGGGTTTAGAATTCGAGCCCAGGACCGTTCTTTTAAAGCCCCGCTCGCCGTCACCACGTGGCCCCTCACCCTGCAGCACCGGGGGGGGAGGGGGGGTTGCAGGAAGTGAGGCTCCGAGCTCAGCGGCCCCCACCAAGCCAGGTAGCTGCTAAAAAGCCACCCTGTGTGGGTACCAGGCCTGCCTACACCTGCCACTCCTCAGGCGGACAAAGAACCAATTCTGCCTCGAATTTCCTTCAGGATGAGGTGAAGCGGGAGAGCGAGGGCTCTTCTCTTAGGGGTTTTTCTAAGAAAGGCAGCTGTCCCTTTAAGTGCCCTGGCCAGGCTGGGAGGTGGGGTTGGACAGCACCCCTGGGGGCCTGTGCTTCCTGCTGCAGAGCTGTTGGTGAGAGGTGATGGAGAGGATTCAGGTTGGAGCGCCCCTAACCGCTGCCCCGTATCTGTCTGAGGCTCCCGTGGAATTGGCTTCAGGTAGCAGCTCCCTTACCATCTGCTGTCCAGGCTGCCGCCCAGACCCCCACTGGCTGTGCTGGGAGAGCCAGGGCGGCCACCTGCTCAGGGCCCATTCCTGCCCACAGCGGGCCTCAGAGCAGACCACAGAGCCAGCCGCAGCAGCCTGCCTTGCCTCCCTGCCTGGCCCAGCTTCCACCAGACAGGCTGACTGGCCCGCGCTGGTCTGGAAGGAGGAAGAAGCTCCGTCTTGCCCAAGCACTGCAGGCTCAGCTGGTCTTAGCAGCCGGGGAGCCAAAGGGCCCTGGGGCCGGGGACAGAGCAGGCATGGCAGGTTGAGGGCCTGGCGCCAGTTGTTACCAGGACTCGGCAGATGGCCTACCTCATCGCTAAAAGCAGCTGAGCCCGCAGACTGACCTCCCGTTGTGTGAGGCTGGGCTGAGCCAGCACTTTGAGGGGCCATGGGAGCCTGCTTACCCCAGAGGCCTGGTTCCTGACCCCACATAGGAGCGCCTGGAAATCACCCTAGCCCCTGCTTCCTCCCAGCTGGTTGAGACTGCCCTTGACTTGTGGCCACGGGGGATCTTGTACTAACAATAAGATCAACAACAAACAGCAATAGTATGTGATTAACTACCACCCCGCCATGAGCCCTACTGTGAGCGAGGTCCCGGGCGCTTTACCTACAGGGTCTCACTCCATCTTAACCCCATGAGGTGCGGGTTGTCCCTGCTGTGCAGATGCAGAAACTGAGGTTTGTTCAGCAGGTCAGGAGGCTGGTCTGTGGTCATGCCGCCTGCCCTCTGGGTTCCTCTAAAGTCATCCCTTCCCGCATTACACACAGTGGGACTCTGAAGTGAGTCTGACCTCTTCAGGTCAGAGTCCTGGCTCAATCACGTAGGGTCTTGGGCAGGTCTCTTTGCCTCCCGGAACCTCTGGTTCCTCTATGGGACTGGAGGGGGTTCCGGGCTCCTGGTATATGCCATCAGATGTGGGAAGACACCTTACCCAAGCCTGGGGGAGAGGGGGTGGGTACACCAGGAGAAGAAATGCCCCCAACATGTTCCCTGGGGTATGGGAGGGGCTTGCGGGGCCCAAGTTATGGGTCTTATTTAAAAAAAAAAATTATTGATTTTTCACAGAGAGGAAGAGAGAGGGATAGAGAGTTAGAAACATCAATGAGAGAGAATCATTGATCAGCTGCCTCCTGCACACCCCCTACTGGGGATGTGCCCGCAACCAAGGTACATGACCGGAATCGAACCTAAGACCTTTCAGTCTGCAGGCCGATGCTCTAGCCACTGAGCCAAACCGGTTTCAGCTGGGTCTTTTTCTTTTGCAGCTTTATTTTATTTATTTGCATTTCATTGGATTTAGCCATTCTACAAAGTAAATCCATTTAGCTGTGATAGATGTGTCTCTGTATCACAAAATATTCCCCCACTCATGCTGATGGTTAAATTATTTCAAGTTAGTGGGATAAGGAGGAAATCGCCCAATCTCTGGGCTGTTCTGATCTTGTCAATCTCATCTGTGGGAGCGGGGAGCGGGAGAGGGAGAGTCACGGTTACCGGGCCTGGAGGTGGATTCGTGGGCAGATTGGCTGCAGGTGGAAAAACCCCAGCTCCATGCCGCACCCGGCTCATGGTGGATGTTCAAAACACGCGCCCATGCCCCCTGGCTGAGCTGCTGGTTGCACTTGCCCCTCAAAGACGGGAGAGCGTTCATCATGGTGATGGCTATTTCGGAGCCAGGTAAAATGAGTCCCGGGAGATTAAGCAACTGGCCCAAGGTCACGCTGCTGACGAGGCCGGAGCCAGGGCGAGAATCGCAGCTCTCTCACTGACTTACTGTGCCGTCCCCCTTCCTGGGCCTCAGTTCCCCCATCTGAATGGTGAGGGGCCGGGAACTGAGGCAGAGCTTGCCCATGCCGGGTAGGGCAGCCCGGAACCTGGAATCGGGCAGGCCCTGCTGGGATCCTGGCTCTGCCACTTTGCAGCCCTGAGCCTGGGAGCAGGTGGGGGGCCGCTCTGATCCTTGGGTCCCATCTCTCAGAGAGGTGTGGGCCTGAGATGATGCAGCCTCTGGCTTGAGTAAGTCTCAGTTCCCGATGGTGCTGTGCACGGTCATCAGCTCCAGCACGTCTCCTTGGCCATCCCCCTCCCTGGTCACACTGGCTGCTGTGGGCCATGCATCTCCCAAAGGCTCCTTGCTCACCCCCACCCTCTGAGTCCATGCCCTTCACACCTCATCAGCTACATCAGAGCAGACAGAGCCACCCTTACACTTACAGGACCTCTTTGGGGCTGGGCCCTGGGCACATCTGGGATGGAGGCTGAGGTTCCTGGGTACAGGGCTTCCCAAAGATTACTGCCCTGGACCTGACTGTTCCTACACCACACCGAGACCCCCCATACCCGAGGGCCTCATACCGAGGGATGCTGGGCCCGAGCTAGCACGGGTAGAGGGCGGCTTCACATCCACCCACCTTGTGCCTTGGCTAAAGAACAACAGAGCAGGATGCTTACGTTCCTTATTAGAAATATTTAGAAAAGACTTTTAACTATTTTCTCTTCGCCCGCACCATCAAGTGAAGTAATTGCATAATTAGCCATACATTTGTTCCTCCTTTGCGCGTGGATTTCTTTAAGGGGACATAAAATATTTATCAACGCTTCCTCCACCCCGACCCCTGTCTTCTCCTCGGCACCCGCCTGGTATTAATGCATTTTTGGGGCCTAAATTCCCTCCTCCTCTTAACTAGACAGGTCATTAATAAAATGTTCTCCGAGAGCCCGAGCTTTTTAAAGTTGCATATCTCCAGATAGATGGCCCGGGCGAGCTGCACACTGCTGCATTAAGTCTCTGTGATAAAATATTTATCCACCATTAGAATTTTTTTTTTTCTCTCTCTCTCGGACTGTTTGTGAGGTGCCTCGCTCTTTCCCTTGAGGCAGAGGGGGAGGAGGCAGGGCCCCGGAATGAGGTCTGATGATGAAGTCATTTCTCAATTCCGGCATCTCTTTTGGCTTCTCGCTGCCTTCCTTTCGCTCTCTGGGTTTCTGCTATGGGAACGGGGGCGGGGTGGGGGGTGGGGGGAGGGCGGGAGGATGCAGGGGCATCAGGAAACGGTCTCCTTCTGGTCTTCAGGCTCCCGGGGCCCCGGAAAAGGAGGTGAGAGATGCAAGATTTGCCACTGTTTCCGCGCTTGGCTTTATCGTTTTTGTGGGTTTATGGCTCTGCTGGAGCTGGTCTGAAGAGTGTAGGTCCTTTTAATAATTATAGCCATTCTCCTAATAGCCTCCCTTTATTGATTGTGTAGCAGGGCTAAGAGCTGTGCTCAACTGTGTATATATATATTATCTCCATATAGGCTGTATATTTAGTACATGTATGTTTCTAATAATCATAAAATTGAGTAAGGTAGGTTTGTAATAGTCATTGATCAGTGAAAGTGACTTGTTAATTCACACAGTTAATCAGTGACATCAGCACCCGTTTCCTTTTTCACTTTCCTGTATTTTTCATTCATTCATTTATTCATTCACCCGCCCATTTACTCACGGATACTTTCTGAGTGTCTGCCATGGGCCATGGTACTGGGAATGGACCTTGGGCATGGATAGGCCTCTGCCCTCATGCAGCTTATATTTGGGACAGCGGACAGGAAATAAGGAGAGGGAAGAAGAGGCTCGTTACAGGCCTTGGCCAGGGCCAGGTGGGAAGACAGCCGGTGACGGGAGGGAGTTGGTAGCCTGAGCCTGTTGCTCGGACTTCCTGAGGGCCGGAGTGGGACTGGAGGTGTCCTGGTAGTTGACATGGGTGTGAGGCAGTATACCGGCTCCACGGACACGCAGATGCTGCGTGTGAAATAAATAGCGCCTGCCGTGATGAACTGGCTTTTCTCGGTGTGGTTTGCATTTCCACATTGAATCAATACTATGAATATGACTTTTTGAGTTTGCATCGTATCGCCAGACTCATACATCTCCCTGCCCACTGACAGCTCCATTTGGCTGTCCAATGTGCATCTCAAGCAGCACATCTGGCGGAGAACTTGGACTTCCACCCCATGCCCGCACCTCCCCCATCTCCGTTGGGCCCAGGGACCGCAGGGAGGAAGGTCCACGTGGGCAGCATGTCCAGCCAGGGCTGGAAAGTTAGGGCTGCACCAGTTTGCTTTGCTTCTCATATCTGCCCTGGCCCCTCCCATGCATCCTGTCTGCACCAACCTCCTCTTCACCTCCAACTTGCACCTGCCCTGGCTTCACTCCCAGGCGGCTGGTGGTGACCCTGGTGTGGGCCCCTGGGCCTGCCCCGTGTGCCCGAGCACCCGGACCCTCTACGTGGAAGCTCACAGGGGCTAGCACCGTGCCCTGTAGCATTCTCTCGTTGCATCCTTGCAGCAGCCCCAGGTTACACGGGAGGAAACTGAGGCTGGGTGAGGGAGCACTGGGCTCTCATGTCCAAGGGCCAGGCCCCAGCCAGGTCAGCCTCCCACACCCCCGCTCTTAACCATGCCCTGTCCAGCTTCTTGCTTGCCTCACCGGAGGAGCCCGGGGGTACCACTTCCTCAATTTGAGGTGGCTCCCAGAGCCCACTGCTGCCCCCAGGGAGCATTCTGCTCATGTTCACCTCTCTCGCTGCAGGCCAGAAGCACGTGTGCGTGACCAGCCTCCTGATCTGCCAGGGTCAGCTCTGGGTGGGCACCGACCAGGGTGTCATCGTCCTGCTGCCCGTGCCTCGGCTGGAAGGCATTCCCAAGATCACAGGTGAGGTTCTGGCAAAGTCTTGTTGGGGCCCAGGAATCAGCTGCAGAGGGAGGGGTGTGATTAAGAGCCACGTGGAGCTCCAGCTGGGCTTCCATGATGTTGTAGAATCAGGTGGGTGGGAAAGGCTCTGTAGATGGAGGCAATGGCGTGGGCAAAGGCCCTGAGCCATGCGGGTGGCTCAGGCAGGGAGCTGCAGGCGCTTTCACACCGAGGGTCCCCGGTGCTTTAGAAGGTCACTCTTGTCCTGCTTCACCCAAGAAAGTAGCCTGGAGCATGGGAGAGCCCTACCCCAGACCCATGGCCCCCTGGCAAGGTTCCAATATAGATTGTAGTTACAACCCCCCGAAACCCCACAATCAGAAAGTTCTCCTAAACGTGTGGGTGCCTTGCTTAAAGCTCTGGACCTTTGGCCCCTTCTCTCTGCCCCACGTCTGCAGGGAAAGGCATGGTCTCCCTCAACGGTCACTGCGGGCCTGTGACCTTCCTGGCCGTGGCTACCAGCATCTTGGCCCTGGACATCCTACGGACTGACCAGGAGGAGGCCGAGGGCCCCAAGGCCGAGGAGGACAAGGCAGACGGACAGGCTCCCGAGCCAGCGCCCGCACCCTCCAGCCACGTGGGCCGGGAGCTGACCCACAAGAAGGGCGTTCTCCTGCAGTACCGGCTGCGCTCCACGGCCCACCTCCCCGGCCCGCTGCTCTCCGTGCGGGAGCCCGTGTCCGCCGACAGCTCCGCCCTGGAGCACAGCGAGGAGGACGGCTCCATCTACGAGATGGCCGACGACCCCGACGTCTGGGTGCGCAGTCGGCCGTGCTCCCGCGATGCCCACCGCAAGGAGATCTGCTCCGTGGCCATCATCTCGGGCGGGCAGGGCTACCGGAACTTCGGCAGTGCCTCGGGTGTGGGCGGGAGGCCGGCCCCCGGCGGGGAGATGGACAGCACCCTCCTCATCTGGCAGGTGCCGCTGTTGACGCTATAGCCCCCACCCAGGGAGAAGAGCTGCAGCCGCGCCCCGCTCTCAGCCTGCGGGGGACCTTCGGCCGGCCAGGGCCTCCGGGAGTGCGGGTGGAATCACCTTCCAGGGACCTTTACAGGGCTGTGTGGATGGGCCTGGGTCTCTAGTAACTACCCAGGTGGACAGGCTGGGTCTCTAGTAACTACCCAGATGGACAGGCTGGATCTCTAGTTACTATCACAGGTGGACAGGCTGGGTCTCTAGTTACTACCCATGTGGACAGGCTGAGTCTCTAGTAACTATCCCAGGTAGACAGGCTAGGTCGCTAGTTAAGTGGACAGGCTGGGTCTCTAGTTACTACCCCAGGTGGGCAGGCTGGGTCTCTATTACTACCCATGTGGCTAGGCTGGATCTCTAGTTACTACCCCAGGTGGGCAGGCTGGGCCTTAGTACCTACCCATGTGGTCAGGTTGGGTCTCTAGTGACCATCCAGGTGGACAGGCCTGATCTCTGGTAACTGTCTTGGCCGAGCAGAGGAAAACTTCCTTTTAAAACAAGATGAAATTTAGAGTTTGGGGGAGGGTCTTGGGTTTGTGGAGAGGGAAGACTCCTCTGGAGGAAATGGCCTTTTTTAAAAAAAAACAAAACACAAAACCTCACAACTGCCTGGCAAGCCCAGCGCCTCTTGTCGGGCCGATGGGGCTCAGAGGCAGCCACGCGCCCCTCCTGGAAGGGCGTGTATGAGAGCGTGTGGGCTGGTGTGTGAATATATATAAATACGTATATATGGTGTATATTATCTGTGTATAAATAAAGTCTGTACATATTGGAGCTCTGGGACATGCTGGAATAAAAGGCGAGAATAACATCGGTGCTTGGATTGAGGGATTTTTTTTTTTTTTTTTTGAGATGGGACACGGGGTGAGACCGAGAGCAGCTGCCTCTGGGTGGGGAGTGGGGAAGCCGGAGTGACCGCTCTCGGCAGGAGTGGCCGAGGCCCCGCACCGGAAGACCTGCCACAAGAGCAGCCCCAGGACTGCGCCGTTCCCTGTGGTCGCCATTGGTCACCGATGGCTACTTAATTTTTTAAATTAATTGCAACTAACTTAAATGACAAATTCAGTTGTCATCCCATTAGCTTGCAGAGCCCCAAGGTGAGTGCTGGCTGTCGGACAATAAAGAGGTGGACAGGGCTGGGTCTCGAGTATCCTTTTCCACTTTCTGGAAAATTCCCTTCTGCTCCAGAAGGGCCTCTTGGAAGCTTCTTTTCTGAAAATCTATAATAATAAAGGGCAATAAGCTAATTAGACCGGACATCCTTCTGGACAAAGTCGCAGTGGGTGGGGGGGCCAAGGCAGAGGCCCCTGGCCGCAGTGGTGGCGGGCAGGGGCCGGGGCCAAGGTCCTTGCACAAATTTCGTGCATCGGGCCTCTAGTAATTTGATAAAAAGGCTGGGGCCCAGTTCTGGAGGATAGGGAGGCAGGACGCCTTGGCTCTGCTAACCTGGGAAGGAAGGAAGCTGGGACTTCGCCACCTGGAAGGTCGGGTTGTTGCTATGGGCAGCACAACAAGGCAAGGATGGGGCTGAGGCTCCTGAGTCTGAGGGAAGATGGGGTGAGTGCTGGTGGTGGAATATTTGGTGAGTGCTGGTGGTGGGAGCAGATCCCGGGCTGTTGGGTAAGGTGACCAGATCGTCCCGCTTTTGGTGGGACAGTCCAGATTTCTAACAATTTTCCCGCGTCCTGCGGCATTTTAAAAAAGTCCCGATTTTTGGAAAGATTGGAAAGATTCTTTCCGAAAATCGGGACATCCCTGCCCCTAGGAAGTGCAAAGTTAGAGGGCAGGGCAGGCAGAGGTGCCAGCAGGTGTAGGCTTGGGGTCAGGGAGAGTGTCTGAGAAAGGGGCAGGGCCTCTGGCAGAGGGCGGCCTATGAAGATGGGGTGTGTAGCCTGTCGTGGTGGGTTCCATTGCCAGAAGGCAAGCAGAGGCTGAGGGAGCTGTGTATGCAGGATCCATGGCCATGGGCATTCCGTTCCAGCTGAACCCATCTTCTCGGGCCTCAGCTTCCCTATTTGTATGAAAGGGAGACTCACAACCATCCTGCCCACCTCTCCCGGGAGGGGAGGGTCCTATCTAAGTACGAGTGGGACAAAGGGCATGGTGCTCAGGTCAGTTACCAAGTGCCCTGCAGGGTGGGGCTCCCACGGGTGCCTCTATCCCGTTCGTCAAGACTTTTCCCGGACTCTCAGAGTGACCAGTGGGTAGAGGCCACTTGGGACAATGAGAAAGCCTGAAGCCTAGGATCCCGCAGGCCTGCGTTCAAGGACAGCCCCGCCGAAGACCTGCCGCGTGTCTCCCAGCCTCAGTGTCCTCATCCCTAACACGGGACCAAGACACCTTGCATGATGGCTGTGGGCCCGTGGTGACCGGCCCACGGAAAGGGCCCGGAGCAGTCCTCCCACGGCAGTGTTGTGATCACTCCCGACGTCATGGCAGCCGCCTTGCTGCGCGCTGGCGGAGGCAGGCTGCTTCTGCTGAGACGTCTCCCCTTTGGCTCAGGAGCTGGCGTCTGAGAGCTCCGGGGGTCCGTTAGATCCCGGATCTGTGGATCTAATGGGCCCGTGACATCCATCACCAAGACAACGAAGACTTTGCTGCTTTAGTGAAATTATCAGATCGGGCGACACTCATCTCTGAGTCTCTGACAACAGCAAGGGAGGACGGGGGCGTCGGAAAGGGCTCCGAGACGCACAGTGGTTGTGCCTTGCGCCGCTGGGAGGGGGCGCTGCTTTAGATGCCTATCAGAGTAACCATAGCCGTGGCACTCAGGCGTGCCAGCTCATTTCACCACTCAGCCCCTCCCCGTGCCTCATTCTGCAGGTGAGGAACCTGGGGCTCAGGGAGGGTAAGTAAATGCCCCGGGGAAGCATCAGGGCCAAGACCGAGGTCTGTCTGCCACCACAGCCAGACTTTAGCCACCAGGGGACACTCCCTCCAAATCATCCCACTAGACAGCTGAACACCTTTGCTGGCCTGACACTACACTCAAGTCACTGGGGATACAACATTGTCCCTTGCTCCTTGAGAGACCCCCCAGTCCAGCAAGCAGGATGCTGGTGCCAAGGAGATGCAACCAAGGCAGGCTTCCTGGAGGCCTGGTGCACAAATGTGGGCTTTGGAGTGATGCAGATTTGGGTTTGAATCTTGGCCACACCTGTTTTCCGTGTGGCCTTAGACATGTGATAATCTGCCACCGTGGCCTCCTCTGAATAAATTGTCCATGACGCCTCCCTTGCGGGGTGGCCATGAGCACCCAGGAGGTGGTAGGTATTTGCTGTTACTATTACTACTACAACCCCTCACCTGGGGGTTATTCCTATCAGCATCATCTCAGTGAATTCTCGAAATTAACCAGAACGAGGAGGCTGAGAGGATGCAGTAACCCAGGAGGGGAATGAAGACAGGGTGTGTGGGGGGGTCTGCAGTCTGGGGAGGTCTGGTTCTGGAAGGGGCTGGGATTGTGTTCTGGCCCGAGCTGTCTTGGTCTGTTTTTAAGCCCTGAGCTTAGGAGGAGACCCCAGCTGGCCCTCCCTGGAGCCAGAACCACCACAGGCTCCTGGGCAAGGCCTCTGGCCCTGGCCGAGGGGAACCAGCCCTCCTGCCACCAACATGTTTTGTGTGACCAGTGAAAGCTCGGGGCACACACATAGAAGCCCAGGCACTGCCTGTCATTCCGTGGGGGTCACCAAGCCTCTGAAGCCTGTGTTCTCGGGGGCATGTGTGTCCATGAGGGGTGTGGCCACATGGAGATGGTGTGTGAGCTTCAGCCACTGACCAGGGGAATGCCAACAGCACTGACCCCACCGGTTCCCAGAGCCACCCACTGGGAACTTCCCAGTCTGATGGGAGAGATCCCTGTTCTCAGGAAGCTCCCAGGCTGATGGAGGACTCAACCCCTCTCACCTGATTGGACGGGGAAGCTGCCAGTCTGATGGGGAGACATGGGTCTGCCCCTAAGGACCCTCACTCTGATTGGGGAGACCCAGCCGAACTCAGGCTCCCCTGCCCGTTTGCTGGGGAAGATGTAGCTTCTGCCTGGGAGGAGACCCTAGCCTGAGGGAGCCCCCCGCCCGGGGTGAAGGGGGGATAAATCCTTTGCTCTTAGGGTGCTCCCCGTCTAACACAGGAGATGGGACCCTCAACGTGAAGAGGCTTCATCCTAAGACTCTCGACAAAAACTTTTAAACGATGCAGACCTATTTCCAGCGCCGAACTACTCCCAGCTCCTCATTTACACTTTCCTGGAACCTGCAAATAGCAAGAATGTGTAAATTGAGGAAAATTAATATAATTACCTGAGCTATTTCTTGTCATCTTTCCGTGTCAACAGAAGCCACAAACCTTTCCTGGTGAGAAGCGGCTGGTTGCGGGCTCTGTCCCCAATGAGACAGCTGGCTCCTTCTCTGCGGGGAGCGGATTCCGGCGGGCGCACCCCGAGAGCTCTGGAAACTGCCCGCCCGCTCGCCTGACAGATGGGCTGGGCTGCGTGGTGGAGAGGGTGCCCGGGCACGGAGTCAGGGGTGGCTCAAGCTGTGGCACCAGGGTGTGGGTGAGCCACAGGTCCCTGAGCCTCTAGTCCGAACGCACTGAAGTCTTGCTGGGTCCAGGGACTGTGTTTGGTTAGTGAAGCATGCCCCTGACCACCATGAACTGTCACACACCCATCCCCAGAGGAGGTGCCATTATTACCCCACTTTACAGATAAGGAAACCGAGGCTCAGGGAGGTGAAGTCACTTGCTCAGTGTCATACAGCACAGGCTGTGGGTCTCAACACTGCCACCCCATTTCCCAGGACCCGACCCCTCCACTCTGCTGCCCAAGGATCCTGTGTGAGGACAGGTGCCAGAACAAACCACAGGATGTTTGCAAACCGTGAGCATCGGTCTCCTCTCCTGGAATATGGGGATGGTAACAGCATTGGCTGCCTGGGCTATTTTGAGGCTGAAATGAGTTAATTTATGTT